CTGGAAATCTGAGACAAACATTTTCACCCAGCTAACTTGAACCATAGATGTCCTTGAAAATCAAGAGATTGAGTAGAGCCAGTTTGTCCCATGATTATTTGCTGGGTTACAGTTTGTGTAGCCGAAGCTCTACAGGGGAGGCACTACAGGCACTACCTACTTCAGGATGTACTTTTGGAACAAACAAAGAATTTGAAGAGGTTATCTGTTTATGGAAACAGCAAGGGGATCTGTATTGTGGCACCCCACTATTCCATCATGAGAGCAGATACCTAGACTGCTGGGACTTTCAGCTCACTGTGGTTTTGAGTTCTGTGTGTGACATTGAGCAGAAAAGTCCTAAGCCAGCTGACACACTCGTGTGATTCCATTAGTTCTGGAGCGGAGTTCTCCAGGATGCAAGAAGATAATAATGGAAGTTGCATTCCTGGCATGTTGGCAGTGACTTGTAAAAGCAGGCTATGGATCATAAACGTGTTGGTTGCTGTTAGTGTAGTAGAAAGGACAAGTGTAAACACAAGGATTGTTCAAACACTGGCGTTCCCATGTGTGCTCCATCGGAATTCACGAGTACCACAGGGACAACAACTCGGGAGGGAGGAGCTGCAATGAACAGTAGTTAAAATGAAATTGTTACAGATCAGTGCAAGCCAGAAAAGACAAGAATGGTGCCATTACAGGATGAGCTTTCCCTTCCAGGGGAGGAACAGGGGTGAGAGGAGGGAAATGGGTTATCTCCTTATCCTTTCAGAAATTTGTTTGAGGAAAGGGGCACAAGCAACAGCAAGCAACAACTTCCAAGCTGCAGGACTCTGCTTGGCTCCTCATGTGACCTTTGAACAGTGACACTCAATTTTCTTCCAGAAGAGCCCTGATAACAGCCTACCAAGTACCACGATACTCTTTGGAATGGTGTTAGCATGCTTTTCATCTCCAAAAAGACTTGCTGAGTGTTGTAGAGCACATACTGCAGGAAAATCAGATTATTTAAATCCTGACTGGAAGCCTTTGGAATACCTGCTTGCAATACTGCTGCAGTTGCCTTGGTGATATATTTTGGGGTAGTGGAAGGCTCTGCCACACTTGAGGTTTTGATCCAGCAGGCACAGGACATTTGTTCCCTGTTTTGTTTTCTAGAGGAGGAGTTTAGCAACCTTTTACTATGTGCATCAAGGTCAGGCTAGATAAGCCTATACTTTTAAAAATAAAATTATCATTAAAGTTCCCCTAAGGCAGTCAGAGTGCTATGACACATGATAAAAACATTCTAAAATAGGAAGAAGCATAAATAACACTGTCCCTTTGAAATTCAGTGAAACTGAAGGGCTGGATGCAGGAAAATGGAAAGAAGGAGAGAAAATAGGGTCAGTTTAACAACTGCACTTTGTGGGCTGCCTAAAATGTTCTTTATTTTTCATCCCAGTGAAATGCAGCAAACTCGGGCCAGAGCTACTTGCCCACAGACTTTCCTGTCAGTAAATGCCCCGTGCAGATGGAATATAATCACTGTATTCAGTGCCTGGCTTTTTGTACTGTAAATCAGAAATCTTGTGGGACCACAATGTATAAATAACTCTTAACTAATTATTTGGGGAATAAAGGATAGTTCAGCTGAGTGTCTAGAGGCACATCTCTTGAGTAGAACATGAATTTATAGGCGTGTTCTCTATTGCATCCTTCTCCATGATATCTAAATTATTCCTACAGATCCATTGTATTAAATATTGATTTTTATACCTGGTGTTAAGGTGGGATTTTTGCATAATGAATTTTGCAAATGAGAGGAGACTACCAACTCAATGGAAGGGACGATATAATACGGACTGCTGATCTAATTCCTTTCACATAGGCAGGGAGCACAGTCTGAAGAAGGTAAGATTGAAATTAAGTTACTTCAAAAGATTTTACCCAGAACCAACTTAAAAATCAAATTTCAAAGCCCAGACATATCTCCAACTTCTCAGTTCTCCCCATGTAGCAGATGGTGTGGTACAAGTTGTTCTAGCAATATTTCACAAACTTGCTATTGATTGCAAGCACAGTATTTTGCAAAAAAAAAATTGTGGGATTTTTTTGAATTAAGGGCATGGCCAAGTGAACAAATCGGTGGGAAATGAGCATGGACAGACAAGCAAATTGTTACAAGTGGCTTAAACCATCCTTTTTTTAATCTAGAGCCATCGCCAGCTCACATAATAAGAGTGGGGAGAGTTGGACTATCTCCTGGAGATGCTCTAGCAGGGTTGGCTTCAGGAACATTCTATGGCTGGTACTGATTACAGATTCTGGGACAGTAAGCCTGAAATCATGTTTTCTCTGGTGTTCAGGAGGAGTGACCTGCTCTGTGACCCACTTCAACATATATCATGTTTGTTTGTTCCTAAAGCAGGCCAGTCCTTGCTGAAGTCAAACTGTACTTTGGAGATCTTTGTTTTATAGCTAAAGGCAGATGATCGTTTGCATGATTTATTCTAGCTCATTTCTTTTAGTTGTCACAACTTAATGTTTCCAGGATACTTACTATCCATAAACTGCCTTCTAAGTATTGCTGACAGTTGACTAATTTACAGTCATAAGAAACTATCAAAATACAACTAATACAAACCAAGAAACAGCAGTTTCTACTTACTCCAGTCGGGATGCATGCGGGAGTTGTTGAAAGTAATACAGCTGGGTTTTGTGGTGACTTGCAGAGCTCGTTTTCACCTGGTTGCATTTCAGAAAGCCAGGGATGGGTGGATGACCGCTGACCAAAGCCTCACCTGCATCTTGTTTCCAGGCTGATCTCCCAAATCCTCAAACCCGTGTAAGTGCGGTGACACAAGGCTTGCAGTGCAAATGGCCCCAGGACTGGCTCTGCAGGTGAATCTGCAAGTAGAGTTTCCTTCTTAACAGCCTTCAGAACAGTATTTGCAGGCAAAGAAATACTTCCTGTAGTTGTTTGGGCCACTAGCACCCTCTTCCCCTCCACACAGTAGGAAAGAAAAGCTTGTGCTGAGGGCTAACAGCATTGACTTGCTGGCTCTGAGGTCATGGTTTGCTCACCGTTACTGCATCATCCTTCACATTTCTCTGGCTTTGTGGTTATGAAATACTTTATTTTAAAGGCTGATCTTGTAATACCCATAGAGATTATACTCTCTGGAATAAGTGACACTTACAAAACCATTGAGGCTTCCTGTTGGTAACACTGTAAACCACAATAACAAAGCTTAGTTATATTACCCATATCTGCTTAGGAAGTTGCCTGTGCTTTGTGGGCTCTCTATAGAACCATGCATCTCCCAGTACAATTGCCTGTCTGAAGCTGGGTGTAAATTAACTTTTTAATAGGTGGCTTTCAGTACCAGCTAATTCAGCAGAGGAATTAAAATAAACCCCTAAAATAACTTTGCCTTTTTTAAGGGGGAGACAAAGATGTACAGCAATACTTCACTAAAAATTAAATTAATTTTATTTCAATCTTCTGGTGCTCTTTAATGGTCAGTTAAACATACTTCTTTACTTCTTTTCCAAGAAATTCCCCTCCTCTTCTCTATATTTCCTAGCCAAACATTGTCCTTAGAATCTTAGTATTGCTAAGATACTTCAGTTAAAAATCTACATGTATTAATAAGCCTGGAGCTTCTCTTACATTAATTTGAAAGTTTTCTGTGACAATAGTGACGCAAGAATTGGGACTACAATTATGTAAGAAAAGTTGCTCTTAAATGAAGGAACACTCATTTTCCTATGGGACAGCATGCCTCATCTTTTAATTTATAATGCTCCTGGGTTGGATTTTGGTCTCTTTCCTGGTTTGGTCAGTGTTTTCTTGGTTTTATTATTTACTCTTGAAGTGAAATGGAAGTAGCTTCTTCTTGTTATAAGCTATATATGGCAAAGGCATAGGAACCATCTCCTGCTGCTTTTAAATCAAATTAGCAATTGAATTATAGGATAAGAGGATGAGAACATTCTGGATTTTCGAGCCTGTGCACTTCCATGTCCATTTCTCCTTGCTTATCTAATGATAATTCCAACAACAAAGCTTCAAGTATGTCTTGGATATTCCTATTTGTTGTCATCTCAGCTAAGATCAGCACTGTGGCTGATTTTGAAACAGGTTTCAGGCTTGCTTCTAGTTGAAAGAAGTTGTGTGAATATTGGTAAAATTGGTTAAATTTATGAATATTATACATTTTGGACCATGTTGATCACGAAGTGTTGCTGTTTTTCAGATTATGTTTTCAGTTAGACTAATACTAACTACTCTCTGCTGAGAGTAGTGTGCCTCAGTAAACACACCAAAACCTACAGGAATTGCAAAGTGAAGAGACATTTCCCCATCACAAATCTGTGTACACTCCAACATGGCCCAGGGTAGGAACTTGTTTAAATGTTGTCATATCCAAGTAGATTGGTATTATCTCCTACATTAACTCTAAATATCAGAGATCTAAAAGGTGTTTACAGAGCACAGATCTGTTTCCTAGACAAAACCCCAAAATATTTGTACAGTCTAATTTCATCCCCCCTGGATTGTGAAGATAACCCTTCAAACCCAAGCTGGAGTGTAAATTAATATAATGAGGCCTTCCTTAGCTTGCAAGGTCAGCTCAGTTTCTCAAGATTATTTCCAAGCCTTTTCTGCTCAGGATTGGTTTTGCTAACCAGCAGTGTCACAGAGTTAACAAGACTGTTCAGTTTTACTGCTGCTATTCAAAAACCCGTGGGAGGCTGCACAACTGATGAGAATATCAATTTTGTGTTGCTGCTTAGGAAAGCCAAGAGCAGAAGTAGAGGGAAGGTACAGCTATAATGGTATTTAGGAAAATTGCTTAATAATAGAAGGAAACTGGAAAGATTATTTAGATTAGCTTTGAAAGCGTTTTTTAAAAAATAGATTTTAAAGTGTTATTTCCCACCCAGCAATCTGTCAAAACTGGCCAATTAATGAAAGTGTAGTAACTGTTTAGCAGTGAAAAAGCCCGTTTATGCAAATATTTTTAAAATTGATACAAATTGGATCATCTAGGAAGAAGGAAATGCACTCTAAGAAATCTGAAAAATCTTGAAGATGTTTTGAATAGTGACATAACTTCCTTCCTCCATTAGGTCACTGGGTGCAGCAGAACTCAAGGTTATACAGGCCTGAGCTGGTTTGCATAAAAATGGACTTAATACTTGTGTTTAATGCAGTTTTTTCTTAAAAGACAAGCTTGAATTTATAAGGCTTTTTCTATGTTCACCATTCCCTTCAATACAAGTGAAAAAGAAACATCCATTGTCTGAGAGCTGATTTGTGGTTCATTTTCTCTTGTAAATTAAGTTTTTTCCTGTATAAACTGACAAAAAATTTCAGTCTAATAGGTGGCAGGTCTCAGGCTCAGTTCCTAGATACTAAAGTTAAAATAGCAAGTTTTTAAAACTTGAACTGTAAATTGCTGAGTGTCCTTTGTGTGCTCTTTGGAATTATTGTTGATTTTAATAAGTGGAGTCTTGGTAAAGTTTCTCTCACAGTGGCAGCTTGATCACTGACTTGAATGGGCACCGAGTAAGCCTGATGAGTTTTATCATTTGTGGCAGTAAAATATAAATAAAAAATAAAATAGCGAGAGCCACCTCTCTGCAGAGAGAATTGCTGTGCTCTCCTCTCTTGCCTCAGAAGATGAGTAGGATTTGGGGAGGTTTTGGCATCTTTCTGAGGCAGGGAGATATCTAAGCTTGGGGGTGGATGAACAAAGCTTGTGTGATCAATAGCACTGTGAAACCTGTGCTCTGGCCTAATTACTCAGTGAAGCACAGTAAAATACTTTTCACTGGTCATCAATTGTATGCTCGTTGTTTGGGGTTGTGTTTGGTAGGTTTACATAATTTTGATTTATATTGGAATAAACAGAGAAAGCAAAGGTACTTTATGAGATTAAAAAGGCTTTTATCTACAGAAGATCCTTAGAGTAAATAGCAAAATGGTAGTGTTTTGTAGTGCTAGTGTTTCGAGTTATATTTAGTCTGTTTTTTAAATTCAGGATCTTAACCCTGTGGATATAAGGTTTGCAACATAGATGTGAGGAAGGAACTGATTTTTCATGTTAGAAGAAACTAGAATTTTTTTTTTACTAACCTAACAAATTTGAGTCTGAGATGAACTGCAGAAGGACAAGCAGCCCATTTTTCTTTTTTTTTTCTTCCAGAGGTTTATTAGATGCCTTAGGATTGATTTCCAAATGCAGTAGGTGCTCAAATAATGATTGGAGTGGCCTGGCCTGCCATAGCTCCTGTGAGACAGTAGTCCAGCCAGTTGAACCCTTGTTACATCCACTTTGTTAGAAAATGTTTTCACTTTCAGGTCATCATAAATAAATATATTTGAGTTCTTTAGGGGTAAAATATACATAAAGAAGGCACTGTCCTCTAAATCAGACTCATTGTGTGGTAATTCTTGCACTTAGAAATCAAGGTGATCTTTCTTGAATAGTTGAAATACACCATAGTGCTTATGTCTGTGAAAGCTCAGGTTGGCTGTAGTCTTCTGCAGAAATTCGAATTCTGATTTTGAATATGCCTGTATAGCTTCCATGTACTTTGTTGTCAAAGGGTTGAGCTAAATTTGAACGAGACACTTGGCACGTGTCTTTCCATCCACACACAAGCTTGCACCGTGACAGCAGAAGCACAGGGACTTTTCTGTGTGCCATGGAAGCATTTCTGCTCAATAAAACACCTTTTTTTCTCCTTTCGTGGTCGGTGGCAAAGCCTGGAACTCCTCCTAGGTGCAGCCTAGCTCTGGAATAGTGTTTAGCTGGGCTCCCAGTACCTGCTCTGTCCCAGCTAGGGACTCAGTTTAAACTTTTAAATTTTCAGCAAGTTAAAAGGATCGATCTCAGCTGCTCGTGCCGGGCGCTATTTCCAGCCTGCCACGAGAGGGTGCTCCAATGCCTTCATTTATCCATTGCTAAAAGGTGTTTTCCACTAAGAAAAGTGGGGTGTGTTATTTAACATGACTGTGTTATTACAGTGCAGTGTTTTAAGTAAGCATTGGGTTATGAAAGCAGGCATGATCCACATAGCAAAAGGCAGATATGGCTGTATTAAGATGTAACAATGCATGTTTATTTTGCTTTTGTCATTAAGAGCTGGGCTGCTTCCCTTTTAGTTGTTTTGTTTCTGTTGGGCCTTATCCTAAGTTAACTTCGTCTGGCAACAAGGGAAATTTCTCAACTTGTTTATGTGCAAGTATGCAGACAGCTTTCGTGCATGGAAGGGCATTAAATCTGATACTTTTGCTAGGTAATCTGAGCACTCAAGTTAAGAGTCACTTCTCATTGCTTCTGTGCACTTCTCATCTGTAAAATTGCAATAACTCTTGCTTGGTTTATGGAGCTGTTTAGACTTAATTTTGGTGTAAACAAACACAGGAAAGCTGTCTGCAGGCTAAATTAAATGTTCAGTCATACACTCTTGTCTCATCCTGTAGGCTTTGGAGAAATGTATTTGTTGTGGCTCTAGCCTGTATTTCAAAACATTTGTGGCGTGGTAATAGGTCCAAGGGAAGAGTAATGTTTGTGTTAATTGTTGGACTTGAAAATGAAGCTCAAAGCACTGCACTTTGCTCAGTGTTATCTCTCGAAAATACATAGAGACCAAAGCTGCAGTGAATTAACAACAGAGAGAAAACTGTAGAGAAATGTCTTTGGCTGTTTAGCAATAGAGCAGTACAAAGGGAATTGGAGTAAGCATTCATGCACTTGGGCTGGTGGCTGGGAAACAGGATCTCTGCAAAGAGATCCCAAACCTGGTGTTAAGGGCATGTAATTACCAAAAAATAGAATCACCTGACACCACAGTGGTGTTAGCCACTGACTGCTGAGCTGTGGGATAGTTGTTGCACTAAATTGGGATGCATTTGTGTTTTTCTAAGTCACTTATCATTCCCTTTAATACAAGCCAGTGAAAGGCCATGTTGAAAGAAAGACATTAATCAGTCCTAAAACAGACTCCTAGAAAGGAGATCCGAAAACCTGTTTAAAATACAACCAAGGCAGGCTTCCTGTCTTGCCCACTGTCATGCAAAAGCAAATACCTGACTTCTGTTATGCTGTAGATGCCCTTTTATTCTCCTACAAACTCTCCTAACTTTGAGATCTTAGGTGCATTTCAGGCCTTGGCATCTGGTTTGTTACATCCCCACATCTGTTCTTCCTCGCAGAGAAAAATACTCTTCATCACATGGTTACCCCCTGAGCTGCAGGGAGATGGGCTTGTAATTTTTGAAACTTAATAAAAGCTATTACAAAAACAACATCTCTGTTTGTTAGTGGAGAAGTAGGCTTTAGTACGTAGAATTAACTTTTTTTATACACTGAAGGCTGCAACTCCAAGGATTGCTCTTGTGCTTTTAGAAATTAGATAGTGGCCCTGTGTTGGGAACAAGTGTCATTCCATGGGCAATAATGTGTGAAATGAAGGTGTCTGAGGTTTAAGGGGGAAAGTAGAATTGAATGTTCAGGAATTGATCCTGGTGACTAAGGAGGAAGAGCAATTTCCTCAGAGTGTTTAGCATTCTTCCTCAGCTGGTGTCTTATTTGGAGCCATATCTCTTCTGAAAATGAGACAGGTGATGCACAAGGTCTTTCTCTCTGACTGTGTGCTCCTAGTTTGTTCACAAATTCTTTGCTGACAATGGATGTCAGCTCTAGGACCAGGAATACAGATGTGCAGGAACTGGAGAAAATAGTTTCACCCTGTGAAGGTGCCATCTTTATATATATATATATAGAGAGAGAGAGAGATACTGGCATGAGTAAAAATCCCTGCAGTTAGGAAAACTGCATTCCATAGTAGTTAGCTATTTAATTTTTTTTCTGCACTGGCAGAGTAGTAAGTTTATAAAAGGAAGATTGTTTTGTCACACAGATAAGGGAGGCATGAGCACACAAGATGGTTTATGCAGCACATCTCTAGCAGGAATATGGATACAACACCCTTCTACAGGCCCATGCTCTTTTTTCCAAGTTTGACTATAGAGACTTTCTATTATGCTTTGCCCCATGACAGGTTTTTTTACCTTTTTCATGCTTGAACTCAAAGCTATTTATTTTAATCCTACTTCATTAGTGTGAGTAAGAGTAGGAGGTTTTGTTTAGACAACATCAGTAGTTGAGACAGTAGTTGTTTTCAGAATCTTTTATGACTTTGATTGAAAATGTTATTTATTAGTTAGATAGTATGAGGATTTTGTAATGAAAGCTCTGAGCTGCACTTTATGAAGGATCACTAATAACACCAGCTTGAGTTCTGCTCTGCCATGGCTTCCAGATATTTAGGAAATGACGTTTACTTTGCTTTAGACCTTCTTCATTGCACAAATTTATCCTACTACTCTGTAGAGCTGTCAAAAGAATAGAATATCAAAACTGCAAGACACTCGATATATCAAGTGCTACAAAAATATCATGTGTAGTATCAAGTCATAATATTAGCATGCACTGACTGAGAATGTTGTGTAGGCTGTGAATTTAATGTGTCTGAGAATAGGCATTTACTGCTGGGTAGAGCATGGCTAGCAGCAGTGAGGGGAGTCACCCACAAAGCAGGTACAACCTCAGCAAAAGTCTGGGATTTAATAAATCCTCTTGCTCTTCTGTCCTTTAATTGCTAATAAAACATTTCAGCAAAAATTGTTGATCTTATTACCTGAGCAGGGGAGATGGTTACCTACCAGAGGGTTTAGAAATAAGTCTTACTAGAATTCATATCCTCAATGGAAAAACATTATTGCCTCTTGTCACAAATCTAGAAAGCAATGATCCAGATTTAGAAAAACATCACAGTTTGGGCTGAAGCATTCATGCTGCTGTTTCCTGACTGCCTCTTGACTAAAAGATTAGGCACATCAGCAGGTGGCAGGTGAGCCTTCTCAGCTTTGTATGGTAGCCCTAATGCGACTTTAAATCTGAAAAAGAAAGTGCCTGTGCACCTCATTGTGAGGAGGAATGCCTGGTCCTTGGAGCGTGCTTCCAGAGACAGCTGCACAGCTAGCACATGTGTCTGCACAGTGCTCCCCACCCCAAAGCTCCAGACAAAAACAGGAGATGAATCTCAACAGCTGCACAAGGTTCAGTTTATGAATCTTAATTAGCATTAGGAGTTGTTTGAGATGTTTATTTTCATAATTGTCTAGTGATGATTGTAAGGGCTATATATCCCAGTTCAGGTAGTCAGGGTAATGCTAATGTCTTTATAGGGGAGGAGTTCTGGTGATCGGAGCCTGAGTGAGTGCCACATCCCTCTAAAAATAAATAATTCTCATATGGATCATAGTGTTTTTCTGTGCCCTACCAGGGCGCTCTTAGTTCTCCTTCCTCTTTTTCTCTACCCAAGTTACACATGTTTTTGCACAGGCTGATTTCTGCAGTTAAATTTTTGCTTTGAGAGGAGCTCTTACAACATTGGCAAAGCTCCCACTAAAACTGGTTTGAGACCTCCACACCCAGACATGGTTATTTTTCCTTACCAATTTAAAGGAACAACTTGTATTTTATGTATTTGTCTTAGATTACAGCAGCCACCTTCATGCACTAAAAAGAAAGCCAAGACTGTCAGTTTCCCTGTTATTCTATCTTACCTGTTGTTATATAGGACGCCCTACCTTGCTTTAGAAACAGAATCATTAGACTCCATATATTTTGAGTCATTTAGTTTCAACCCTGCTTCTGCAGCACATATCTCTTGTGTCTAAAGTGATTTCCCCTTAACGAGGCCAACAGTAGCAATAACAGTAGTATAGTCTGTTATCAATAATCTGCCTGCAGTATTCACAATATATAATTTCCAAAAGATTCACCAGGAGTTTTTGAAATAGGAGTAGGTTTTGTTTTTGTTTTTTTCCTATGATGGGGGATGGGGGTTGGAAGAGTTTTAAGTTGATCTAGGAGGTACCTGATCTTGAAGTAAAGTTTTACAGGATGTAGCCTACTTGTATCCTGCTCATCTGAATGGCAGCGTGATAAGGCTGAATGGATGGAAACTTGTCAAAAGAGACCAAGATATAGTTCTGCCAATGAATCTGTTAGTCTAGTTTTGTAGTAATTAGGAATTAAGTTCTTACTCTGGCAGTCTTTCACTGCATTTTCATTAGACCCAATTCAGACGTGGAAGTTTTACTGAACAGTCATGTTTGACGTTGCTGGCAAGAGGACACACCATCTCAGATTAGTCAGTCCTTCTGAAGGCTGATTCCACTTGCTGTATTTGATCACAACTATTTGATGTTTGCCATTACTCAGTTTCTGGCGTCAGAACACAAGGTGTGACCCTGTATGTTTAATTTACTGATCTTTTTAGAGGAAAAAAAAAAATCTTGCTCTATACAGGTCCCTGCTGGATGTTCTCCAGGCTCTCATTTTTTGTGTATCAGTCATTGATTTGGGTGCTATTCAGAGGCTTTCCCTTTTTGGGACACTATTCATGATGAAAGCACGACCTTAAGGGGTGTTGTTCCCACAGCCTCTCCTGATGCATCGTGCTGGAACTTCATCATCCTTGCTGGAAGAACTTAGTGTGCTGGGTACTTCCGGGCTTCAGCTCTATAACCTATCCAGGTTACTTCTATGCAGCAGCTCTCTTATATTGACTTTTAAGTGCTTCATGTAGCTTGAAAGTAGCGAGAAGACGGTTTCTGGCAGTGATGTAGATGAATAGGAAACATGTCATTAATTCTAAAGACCCTTCAAATATTAATTAGCTCCTGATTCTGTAAAGTCCTAAGCTGAAAACCCCTTTTAAACCTCAAGCACAGTAGCTTTCAGTCAGGAGTTAACGGGATGCTACCTCTGGATGTTCCATGGCTTGCCAGGGAGCAGCTCCTGGGCTGAGGAATGTCTTGTAGTTTGCCTCAAGGGTACTTTTTGCAAAGAGATTTGCAGGTTAAGTAACACATCACAGCAGGTTGGAATTCCAAAAGAGAAATGCCCTGAAAGGCAGGTTTAGTGCATCCCTAGAAGCTGGCAGTGACTGACTGTGTTGTAGTAAATAAAGGGTGTCCATAAGGATGAGACAGAGAATCCCTTGGCTGGAAACAGGATCTGCATGGGATGGTAAATGTTCTGCTTTCTAACTACTGTACTGAGGAGAGCTATGGTCATTTAAATGTCTTCAAAATACAGGATTGCCATAGGCAACTGCTGTTAATAGTAGAAATTAAACTGAAACATCTCCCAAGCTGCCAAAAGATTTGGAGTGGCTTTAATTTCCAGTACCTGGACGAAAGACAGAGAACAGGATCCCTTTGCTGTAAGAGACTGAGTCAGAGTGAGTACAAGTTCACCATGAGTTTTGGTTGCTTGAGTAGCTGATTTGCAGTAGGTTTGTACTTTGAGAGGCTCGAGAGACAATGTTTTGAGAGGAGCATATGAAGGACTGCCTGTTGTCTTGGGATTTCCAACTTCAAGACAGCACCTGGTGTGCTGGTATAGCCCAGTAGTGAGCCCTGATCCCAAAGGAAGCACTTTGTGTGGCTGGTTCTTGCAGGGATACAATACAGCCCTGTGTAATCCAAGCAGTCAGCTGTCTGACAGCCAATATAGGCCAGCAACAACTGGGAATGTTTTTCTGTGGAGTGGGAGGAAGAAGGAATGAGGTGGAACTCTGTCAAATTAGAAAAAAAAACTATCTTAATTGAACAAGAGAAAGGGACCTTTCTTGGCCTTTCAAACCAGAAGATGTGGGGATACAGCAAGCTGACACAGCCAGAGCTTGGTCTCAATTTCAGTTCAAAATTAACATTTCATAAAACAACACTTCTAAATGAAGCAGTCTTACATAGCTCCCTGGAGCCAGCTGTATGGCACAACTGGCAAAAGTCTTGCCATGAAACTGCATGTAGCAATGTCCTTTTGTCAGAGCCTTTTATTGGCTCTGTGGAAAAGCATCTTACTGTGCCCAGTAAAATCCACACAAACTGATGTTGTGGATGGATGCAATTTAGGAACTAACCAGTGCTTTCCAGAATGAGAGGAAACAAGCTGCTGAGTGAGCTGCAATGTTACACCTCCCACTGGGAATTTCCAGCCCTTTCCCTCTTCCTTCCTCCGTCAGAATATAGATAGTAAATACACTAAATTAAGCACTGGGGGAGGTGGCACCCAAAGGAGCTGTAGCAGAGGCTGAGTGGCCCCAGTTAAAAGTAGCTGACAATACCCTGGCCAATCCTCTGTGCATCCCAGTCATACCACCCGTACTGGCAGCAGGGGAGATGTCTCAGACAGCTATGCTGGTATGGAGTGGGAGGAAAGCTCCTTAAATAACCACTAGTGGGTCCTATTCCCTGAGTGTGTCAACACTTGAGTTGTTGTTTTATTCTCTAAGCAGGAAATATTAGTCAAGTAATTGTGTGGCAAGCAAGTGACAGAAATGAAATAATGTTTTTTGCTTTTTCTAATTGCTGGATCTGTTTTTTAGCACACGGCTGATACTTTCCTTGTCATTTTGCATTTCTATTCAAAAACCTCCAAGCAGCACATGAAAACCAGAACAAAAGAGGAAAAGATCTGGCTAAAATCAGGGCAGTAGTATTGTATTGAACCTCATCCCTGACAACTCCAAAAGAACACTTGTCTCGGTTTTGGGTTTGGAGTACCTGCATTTTGAGGGGGCAGGGCAGCATCCTTCCCCATCATTGTTAATCTTTGCATGTAGTTAAATTACAGTTCATAATCCAGTCTTGAAAAGCCTTATTCTTAATATACATTACACTGCCCTCCTCTTCTTATTCCAGGTGAAGAGCAAATGTTGTTGTGGTGCCAAATTAATAAAATTGGATTTCATTTAATTAGTACTGTCTCACAGCCCATTAGATAAATCCAAACGACTGTTTTCTTCTTTCATATTTCCCCAGCACGAGGGGATGTTGGCAGTGGTATAAGAAAGCAAACCATTAGTGTTCAGGTTAGCATTGTAAATTGGCAACATCTCAGCTCTTTTGGGGATTTGTCTTTTGACAAATTGTTGGATAAATCTGAAATTGTAGCTACCTCCCTTATGATGTTTGTTTGTAGAGCAGATTCTGTCCTTGCTAGTCGGATCTTGCTAACCAAACTGAAGGTTAGTCTAAGCATTTTCCATGCAATTTCTGCTTTTTGAAATGGCAATCATGAACCTAGGCAAAAGATGTGGCCTAGTGTGTCTGGGGAATTAAGCCACTCATTTCCACACTGTTGTACTTTGTTTGCTTTTCTTTACTGCTCTGAAAACAAGTTAGTAGAAAAAAAACATCATCTGCAGGATGTTTTTGCTCTGTTGTCATCCAGGCACTGTCAAGTTTTCCTCCTCCTGGGTTATTTCTCCCTAGAGCAAATGGTACTTTCTTTAACCAGTCTTCTAGTTTCCTTTGTAAAGTAATTTTTATCTTTTTTTTTAAGGTGCTCCTCACCTCAGTATCTGCTGACTTAACCAGACCATACACTACTAACCACTGCCTGTAGTATATAACTTGTTAGAAGACCTCAATTTTTTTTAGTGATTAGGGTCTGTAAATGAAGCAGCTCTCAAACAGGAACAAAGTCTTTTACTCAGCTTTCTAACTTTCCTTAAATTCAACTATTTTTTGTTCGGTTTTTTTTTTTTTTTTGAAATTAAAAGCAGCTGTGACAAATGATGTGAAAAAGAAAGCAAATGGCAAGTGGTAAACTTGATTGCAGGAGGTTGCAGATTGAAGAAGTAGAACGGGATTCAGTGTGAAGATGTAGAAGGTGGGATACAGAGAAAAATGGTTCTGCCTTTGCATGTGAGGTATTAAGTTCTGAGCTGCCCCTGTAACAACAGGAATCAATCTCTGAGCTGTAATAAGACATATCATGACAACATTAATAATTATAATCCAAAAAAGAGAGCATTAGGAGTAGAAAGACATGTAGTTCTGCTACTCTACTAAGCTAAGGTTTGAATTCTGCACATAATTCTAATCTGGTTGTTTGGAGAGGTGTGTGGTAGAGCTAGAAAAACCCAAAGGAGGAATGTTTAAAGGTGCCCAAAGGCAACAGCATCAGACCTGAGAGAAACTCTTCAGCCTGGAGGAGAGGTGGCTGAAGTAGAATGAGATAAGGACTTATGAAAATCACAAGTAGCAGAGAAAGCACCTACAGGTACTGATCATTTGGGATTTGCCTTGTAGGGACTGAGGATCATCAAATGAAATGAAGAGATGTCCTGTCCAGAACCAGTCAGAGCCTGTTCTTTGTTCTACAAGGTGCTGTGAGCTCTTGATACTGTGGCAGCAGGATTTTGTTTATGTGAGGTTAGTTTGCAATACTTCTGACAGCAACTGGACAAAATAAGGCCTGTCAGGAAGTTTAACTGCAGCAACACAAGCTCTGGCTCAGAAACACGTCGAGCTACAACATCTTGGAAGCTTGGAAAGTGTTTTGGAATAATATGATTACCCTTTTCCCAGGCAGGATGCTGGTCTGTAAGTGACCCAGGATGGTGGTTGTTGTGTGCCTGAAGAATCCCAGTTGTCAGCTGGCTGACTTGCTTTTGACATTCCTAAGTGTTCTGCTAAATCTGAGGGGCAGGACTTGTTTTTCCTATCATGCTTCCTTTAAATGTTCTATAGTTTTGATGTTAACCATCAAAAAGCGCTGTACTTCCTAAAAGATAATCCACAACTTTGCTGTAGATGTAAAGCATCTTTAGTAGCAGACAGATAAAATGTGTGTTTGTATCTTAGCTTCATAAAATTCCATCAAGTTTAATACATTGGCTAGTCTAACCTCTCTTGAAGTAATTTAACAAAAATACTGTTTCTTCTATTATTCTGTCTTAAAATATCTGAACTGCTGAATAATATCCATTACAAACGTACTAAATTACATAAACATTTTCAACCCAGCTCCACTTAATTTATTCACATTTTTTTCTATTCACTTGCTGTTATCTTTCTTTGTAATAAAACTGATTTTATTTCTACATCAGCAAGTCAAACAGTGACTTTTTTGTAGCTATACTTTTAGGAGTACTGAACCTTTTCAAAGCTGAATTAATTCTGCCATAACCCAGAAAGTATTTCCCAAAGACATTATTTCAGTGATTACATTCTTGACTTAATCCTGAATTCAGGTATGTGAGGGTCCAGCACTGCAGTTAGATTCAGAAAAGCAAATGTGGTGACACAGTCTGAAACTGCAAAGCAGTCGACAGCACTGAGCTCGGAATTCTCCCTCTGGAGAGGCTGGGGCTCGTGTTACCCTGGTCACTGAGCAGCTGCTGGGCCAGCACTGGTGAATGGAGCCCCTTGTCTGCTTGGTGGAGCCAATGACAAGGGTCTGGCTTTTGCCAACAGGAAGCAGTTCTGCAGCCGGAGCTAAGTTTAGCGCCATGGATTTGTTCCTCTGACTTCACATTCCCACTGCCCCCCCAAAGGAAATCAGCCCAGAGGGCTGAGAAGGAGGCCAGACAGCTAAACCTCTCTGAGCCCGGGCTCAGCTGAATGTCAGGCACTTTCCACGTTGTTTTCCCTGGTACTGAAGTTCACAACACGGCATGCAATTTTTGGGCAAGTATTCACGCTAAAGCTCGGCTTTTCTTGGAGGAAAGGAAACGTTTGTTTGTTTTCTAAGGCAAATGTATTTCAAAGGAGGCAAGATCACAAGGGTATTTTAGTCAAATGAAGTAAATATTCTAAAAAGGAACCCTCTTCTTTGTTCAAGAGAAGAAAATGGCTGTGGACGATGGTTTGAACAGCACATTGGATGCTGACAAATGAGGTTGACAGTTTTGTGATTTATTTTTAGCTGGAGAATTTTTTTAAAATCAGAAGTACTGTGTAGCCTTGGCAGTTGCTGCATACTCGGTGTGGGTGGATGGAACTGAGAAATCGCATCTGTGCTAACAAGCATTTTGGGATTCCATTAAAAAATTAAACTCATGTACTGGAAACTGAAGCTGTACCAGCTCACCTGGGGAGCTCTGCCCTCCACATATCCTCCACAAGGTAAGCGGTGCTGCCTGTCCAAGGCACTTGTAAAAATACTTGGGCCTCAAGATGTGGCATCAACTCAAATTTGGGCTATTAGATTGACATTTTCTTTCTCTCCTGAGATGACAAGTCAATGAGTTAATCTCTACTCTCTTCTTCCAAGTTTTCCCTCTAACTAAGAAGAAAATTCCAAAGGCAGCTGAGAAACAGTTTAATGTGGTTGTTGATCCAAGTGCTGAGTCTAAGGAAAGTACCTAATACTGTAAGGCTTCTAGTAAGATGTAATTATGTCACTGGGAAAGCAGCTTGGACATTTATATCACGTTAGCTCCAAGGTCTGACCAGTTAGTGCTTTACATCTGCAAAATAAACCTCTCTCCAGCTAGACTTCGTGAGTGTGGGTATTTCTGGCTTCTTCAGGGATCAGCCGAGCCGTGATTTCTCAAGTTGTGTTTTCACAGAAGAGCTCTTAGTCAAATGTTGGTGTTATACTGAAATTAAGTAAGTACTCATTTGATTTGCTTACAAGTAGATAATATCTGGCTTTGATGTGGCCAGTAGTAGCAACTCCCCAGGAATTCTGTTGCAGTGAAGTGTAATCCCCATTAAGCAACTTCTCTCCCAAGGTACTGATTTAAAAAAGCACTAAATGACTTGCTGTAAGCTGTCATATATTTGGCCATCCCACCTTTCCTGGAGCAGGACGGAGTGACCTAATCCTCCTCACCCTTCACACTGAAGAGGTTTACTGGAACTTGGCAGGACAGAGGAAGAATGTCAAACAGACTTTTGATCTACAGTTTCCCAGTTACCTTTGAAATCTGTGTCCCTTCATAGCACTCTTCCCTAAAGCTGACATTGTGGGAGTAGTTGTTGTCCACTGTGGGCAGCATTCAGAGGAAGAGAGATTGGAGCTTCAGCACTCAATGGAAGGAGGTATGTGATACAGAGCATTTACAGTTGATGGTCTCTGCTTGTTTCTAGACTCTTGCACTTGCAAAGCTGACTGGCTCTAGAGAGGCTGAGCAAATCCTTGGGAATTAAAGGAACAAACACTTTGATACAGTATTCAGGATTTTTCAATAGGGTTACATTTGTAGTTTTTTGTTCTAAGAACCTCTTTGTATTTAATTTTCATTGCATTAAAATCTCTCTTCAGGAAGGGAAAGGAGGTTTTTCCTTATCTGTTGTGCTGTTGGGTTTTGGCTCCTCACCCAGAGGCCCATTTAAAGAAGTCAGGCTTGAACTGTGTCTGGCCTGGTGCTTCTGACCATTCCCAGTACCTATGGCAAGATACATCTGTTGTACCTTTTAACAACTGTTAGGTCCAGCTCTCTTGTGCTCACATGGGTTCCTCACCCTGAAGTGTTTTTAAAATGCATCTAAACCCCTGCATCATTTTGCTGGCTGCACTTATCATAATTGCTTTCCTGACAGGGTTCTGTGAAAATCTTAGAGGAGATGAGAACCAGACTCTTTGGTTAACAGTATTGTACTGAACATGATCAATACTTCATCTACTTCAAAATTCTCTCTTAAAACAGCAGAGCTACCAAACCAGCTTCTGTAGATGGTTCAGTCACAGCCTATACTTTGATCTATGAAGAAATTTATGCATCTTGGTTTCAAGGAACAAAGATTTTTTTCAAATGAAGGCTTGGGAGTTTAAGCTTGATTTATTTCATACTGGATTCTGCAACAAAAAACTACTTAACCAGAAATTAGTTGAGGAAGAAATAAGGAAACAATGCATTATGGGAGGATGTGTCACTGACACCTGAGCAAAGAAATGGGCTGAGGGACACCTCTGTTTGATTGCATTAATAACAAAGGGATGGGATAGCTGGTACCAGGGAAACAGAAGACAGGCAGTTTGTCTAAAATCTTAACACAGCTAACCCATTGTAATGTTCAGGTAGACAGACAATGTCTTGAATTCTCTATGCATTTGTGGAACTAAATCATTTGAGATCAATTTGTCTCTCTCCTTTTACCAATTAGATTGGTAACACCAAAGCCCAAAACTGTCTTCCCTTAGATTTTTGTATCAAGTTGGCCAAGAAGCCCCTCTTCTAGGCAAAGACCCACCACTTTAACTCCTGTTTCATATCAACACTTGATCATGTTGGAAAAGAGAGCTCTTTCTCCATGCATTTCTCACTCTGAAACCAAAGATGACTTACCTATGTCAGATATATTTTGGTAATTGAAGCATGACAGTGCTGCTAGCTTGAAATATTTCCTTTTATATGATGTGAGCCGTTCATGATGCAATTTTGTCACTGACTCTGAAGTCTCCTCCCATTCTGTCTCTCTCAGCCTGGTACCATAAATAGAAACTACTCCTTGCCCATCCCAAGTTCTTGGCTTGGAGCTGTATTTCTTAGCTTTCCTCAGTGGGTTGTTTACAATACTTAAACCTTGCCCTACTCTGTGGGAGGCCCAAGGACTAACTATGGGTCTATGCTTGGCACTAGCAAACCACATTATTAAGAGTCTGGCTGCTTGCAAGAGAGGAACACCTAGGAATGGCATTTAGTTAGTGCCTGCATTTTACCAAAGCCATATGTGAGCTGTCTGACCCCTTTAAACCACTGTTTTTCATGGCCACATGGATGGCAGCAGAAAGACTAGGTGGTCCATTTACCTAAAGGCTACAGTCTGTTACAGGGTAAAAGAAGTTCATAGGTCTGCTTCAGTTCTACTACATTATTAGATAGCAGAAACTTGGCCTGTTCAGCACTGGTTGCTTTTCAGTGTGTAGCTTGTCCTGAGTATTTTTGGTTAGCAGGAAGCAATGAGACTTGGCTTCAGAAACAAAGCTGCTGTAGAACTTGATACTGTTCCAATTGTGTCAGCAAAATAGGAAACCCACTTGCTGCTGTGTTATCAGTTTTGTTTCCTTGTATTCATTAAGGCAGAAATCCTCCCACTAAGAAGCCAGTTAAAGATCTGAAGGTCCGGTGGTGTAATGTGATGGATGTTTTGAAGGTGCAGTGGAAAAATACCAATTAAACCACCATTCATTAGGTACTTGATGGTCTACTTTCCATGAGTTGATGGCCACTGCCTGTTCTTTGGTAGTCTTAAAAGCAAGCAAATAAAATGAGTCCATCTTGAAACAGCATGATAGGTAATTTACTGGTGTTTAATTTAAGGACTCAAGTGCAAAAATAAAGTAAGATAGTGGCATATTCAGGGATCTCAGTGGCTTTGTATTTGAGTTGTCCCTATGTGAAAAAATACACACAAGTCTACACCCTGTGGTTTTTGCTGTAAAACACCAATATATCAGATTAAGACTGTATGCAATAACCAGTATTTACCCTATAAATCTCCTTGTCTCTCTCCTTCCATTGACAAACCAGTCACTTTGGCCTATGGCAAACAACACCAAACCAATTTCAGGGCTGTATTTTCATTAACACATTCTTTTCTTTGATTAAGAGACACTGACATTCAGAGTATAACAAGTTTTTAGAAACTCCCTGAAGTATACGTTACAAAGTAGCATAGTCAGCAAGATCTCCTTTTATTCAACTTTTCCCCACTGCTGGAAGAATTAGAAAAATGCTTCTAAATGAATGACTTGTTGTACAGGAAGTTGTACAGGGAGGGTAACCACTCTCAGGAAACAGCTTTGAAGGGCACCACAGGGAATAGGGTAAAGAGCTTAGAAGAACTGCTATGCCTGAAAGGTGGATTCTTCCACTGAGGAAGTTGAGTGTACCAGAATTAAGATTTTATGTCATGCACTTACTGTGAAGGGCATAGGAACAGGATGCAGATGTGGTGGACACAGATGTCAAAGTGATGGCCTGTAGTGTAAAATAACTATCTAGGAAAATCAGCTTTAAGAGAGATAGTGCTCATCTAGAAGCCAGAAAGATGCTTGATTTTATTCTGGCTGGGTGCATTTGACAGGACCTTATGAACTGCAATGTACTCCATATCCTTTCTACTGGAGAGCACCTTCAGGAGGGTGCTTCGGAAGAGTGTGGGCACAAAATTACTCTGTTGCAGGAGACTTACAGCCAAAGTGTTTCTCACTCATAATGCCAGTGCTGGCAACTACATGATTCCCATCAGGAGCTCTTAATACACCAGCCAGCCATTAGGCTTTGGCTACAGACTCCTCTGACAGAGGCTAAAATTAATGGGGTAAGTAAGGATATATATGCAAGATACATTATTAATCCACTTAACTTCCTGCTAATCCTTCTTTGTTCAAAATACCAATTACTCATCTGTTGTACTTTAACTAAGAAGTAAATGTGTTATTTTAGCTAAGGTTAGTTACTGTCACAGCTGAGACTAATCTAGCCACAAATCCATAACTTGCCCTTTCCTGGTACCATTCTAGGTAAGGGTGTTTGTCACAAAGCTCATACATGTCTTTCTGAAGCTGTGCTTGCTTTCTCCACACGTTCTGATTATTCTTTGTGTATTAGCAGACATACTAAATTCAGTACAAATGGCAATATAATTCAGAGTAATTGGAGCAAATGCAAGCTGAGAAAACAGTAAACTGCAAGAAACAAAACAAAGAGGAAAAGAGAGAAACCTTCACTTGAGAGCTCCTGGGCTATCTCAACTTCTGACCACTGGGTAGCATCATGCCACAGGAGTCACTGAGTTTAGTTTTGGAAGAGGAAGAAAAGAAGTCACCCCCCTCGTCAGAACTTTAGGAACAACAGTATTCAGGTGTCCTAAGATAATTCTTTGCCTAGTTAGTTTGCCACGAATGTCAGGTGTTGGTTGCAGGGGAAATTATGTCAGAAGCCATATGGGAAAGGCAACTCCTCATCATCACAGCATCTCCACAGCTCTATTTACTCTTTTTCTACTTTCATAGCCTTACAAAACACAAACATTTGGAATAAGCCTGGTTGCTTACCTTTAGTCTAGTTTGAATCATCATCACACAGTTCAGCTGCCCTCTCACAGAACAGATCATGGAAGTGCTGCTTTCTTGCCTCACTGGACTGCAGTAACTTCTTTCCCCCTACAAAGGCCTAAACCATGGACTTCCCTTTCTCTGCTCCCTTTTATACCCCTCTGCAGGCCCACCACCCTCCTGGTTGTGAGACTGCTGTGGTGAGTGCTGGCTTGTTAACCCTTCCATGGCCACCTGGCAGGAGGAGCCTGGCCTGTCACAAGGCAGCTCGACTAGAAAACCAGGGCTATTAAAGAATTCATCAACAAATCTGGGGGTTTTGAGGGGTAATTTGATGGGGCCGCTATGGAAAGCTGTCCCAAGTGTTACTAAGTCAGCAAATGTGCAGCTCAGACTGGTGCATGGTCTTGGCCTTGTTTTCTGTGTCTTTCTGAATTCCTGACATGTCCAAGAGCATTGATATTCTCAGTGTTTGTACCTCTCTGAGATGTGGATTTTCACTAACATCCTTTCCTCTTGGTTCCCGTTAGTAGTGCTCCAGCAGTGGTATGTGGAATGGAGAAGTGAATCAATCTGGGCGGTCCCCTTAATGGGTGATCTGTTTTGTAATTTGTGCAAAGGAATTTCTCCAAGGAAACCGTTTGCTTTCTTCCCAAACACTTTGTTACCTAACTCGTAGTGGAACAAAACTCTCTATAGCTCATCTCAAAGTTGTTTCAACTTGCCGTCCAGTCCCCACATCCTCTGTGCGTTCAGCAGTGCCTGGGAAGCTCCACCCTCCCTTCCAGTGAATAACCACGTTAGCCCAGGGCCTGATTTTCCCAGTCTCTGCTTTGCCCGCCCGGCAGCGCTTCCTTTCCCCTTGGCTCCCGGCCTTGCGAGCAGCGATTGCTGTGTGTGGAGCCTTTGTGCTCAGCCCAGGGGTTGTGGTGCCAAGCGGCCTCTTTGCTCTCTGGGAAGCACAGCATGAGTGTGGGGACCGTCCTCTTCCAGTCCAGCAGCTATGGCAAGGAGGGCAGACTGCTCTGCTGCCTCGGCCAGGGCGCCTCCGAGCCTGGCGTGCGCTTCACAGGTAGGATGTGTAATCCTGTCCTGTCCCTTTCCTGTCTTCTTCCAAGTGCTTCAAGGAGGATGAGCTTCTTTCAAGTCTGTCTTTGTCTTGTAGTAGGAGACCAGCCATAGGCAGGTGTGAGATTGCCAGCTTTTATCGGGATTTTAGGATTAGTGAAATGCTTCTTTTCTACAAGCATTTACACAGTATTTCAGAAATAGAGACCACTTCAGCACTTAATGGGACTCTGAAATTTAAAATTGAACATATTTTGCCTCCTGCTCCGAGACCAAAGATGTTGGTAATTGGAGTGCTGGCAGCAAGGGTGGGGGACTAAACACCCCTTACGTGATGGCTGGATAGGAAAGCATTCATATCCGGAGAGAAGCAAATGGTATTGTGGGAATAAAGAAAAGGAAGGAGATGGATGAAGCGTAACCTCCTTGTGTGGCTGTGTATTACTTGTTCACTAAGTGATGATGTAAGTTTTCCATTGCATAGGAAACTAAATTGATAATGTGAGATTTATGGTTAGCCTTGAAAAGGAGCTGATATAAAACTGGATTTCCCAGCTCATTTCCTGACTTTTGGTGCAGACAGAGCTTGCAAACTCTTCAGCTGGAGGGGCACAACTGGTGACATGCTTTGGTTATCTCTGTGATGATCATGTTTCACTTCTGTGATGGATGGTGTAGATCTCACACTGTATGGGACAGCATAGGCTGTTATAGAATTATAACCTACAAGAAATACTTTTGTATCCTGGTAAAAACCTCTTTAGGTGTTGGGTAGCTCTTACAGTTATTTAAGCAGTCAAGTCACTCTAACATGAAAGTGAAGGAAGTTAGTGAGACGTGAACTCTTAAAAGCATTTGTTTTTTAGGTAATGTGATTTTTAGGTAAGCGCTGTAGCTATGTGATTGAAGCTTCTCATCAAACATTAACTGCTGCTGGCTTTTTTGTACATCAAGTGGGTGTTAATGCCTCCCAAGAAAGTGGTAGGAGTCCCACATCTGCTTTGACTCCCCGCTGCCAGTCCAGCACAGCCCCACACGTTTCCATGTGGTGCAGAACAGGTGGCATTTCTGGTGGCTTTGCCTTGCCTGCAGTGGGCTCAGCTGGGCACAGGGCTTGCTGCAGCAGCTCTGGAGCTCGGCTGGCCCTGGGCTGCTTCAGGCTATCCATGAGTGCATGGATAAACACTTAACTTCATGCTGTCTGTGGAGCAGGACTTGGGTGCAAGTGCATGAGCTTTTCTGGCTGGAGAAAGAAACTTAAAGGATGCTTTGACTTAGAAAAAATGTTGTATTTTTGTTTAAAGCCTTTCATGGTTGGCAGATACATAATAGAAAGTAAGAAGGTAATTAACACCATTAAGGTATTTTGGAGCTGAAAGGTTGAGTATTTTGCCTACTTTTGTGTTTGCTTTCTAGCAGAGATGTGTAAGTCAGGGTTCTCATACAGCACATTTGACTTTGCTTAAAGCATTGAATCGCTCATGATACAAGTCACTGTAGCAGCATAATGAATGTATTATTTAATTAAATACGTATTTTTACTCCATATAGAGAGCTGGATTTAGGAACTGGTGCTCTTTCATGGAGCTTAGTATGCACACATCCAACCCCAAGAAAATACAGTGGGATGTTGGCAGCCATGCTGTAATGTAGGTGTCTGAACATTGGGATTTCTTATTTTCCATGACAGCATCCAGTCTGATGGGTTAATATGTTGTAAAAATAATTGTAGTTGAGAGTTAGGAATAAGAAGTGTATGTAAATATTGCATCTGCAGGCAGTGCAATCAAGGAACTGGCAATTTGGTGCTTTAGTCTGTAGTTTCTTCTTTTTGTTCTAGGAGAACCTTGACAGAAGGCTACTTTTAAGTTATTAAGTAATTGCAAGATGAACAGGTTATGCAAGTAGTAGAACTCTGAATAATTACCAGAAATGCAGTCAAAAGCTACTTAGCTACGTTTAAAATGGAAACAGAACAAACCTCAACCACTTACTTTCTCATATACCTACAATACAGTTAAAAATTACCTTATAGGCTGGAAACTCCCCTTAGTCCTTGTTTTCCAGGCTTGAGCTCTGTCCTGTGACACAAATTATTATATTACTGTGCTTGTTACATGGCACAGGCTTTTTCCTGTTTTATGTCTCACTGACTTCCCAGTTTTCCTGTCCTATGCTGCATTTGAGCTCTTTGTTCGTTTTTTAAGTGCTTTATAGACCAGCTCTTTCTCGTGAGTGTAAATCTCAGGGGCCCATGAGGAAGGGGATAGGTGTAGCCACACACACATTCTCTGGAAGTGTCCACTTAAAAACATCCCAAGCCTGACTTCTCAGCCCCTCAGAAACGGGCCAAACCAATGACTGTAATGCAAAGAAAGCCTCAGATTTTTAAGAGAGAGCTTTTTATGTTTAGTGCATTTAATGAAATTTCTTTGCAGTATGCATTTCTCTAAGTTCAGCTAGAGAATTCAGAAATTCAGATATTGGAACAGGGACTTAGATCTGTGCCGTCAGAGAAAAAGTGTATAACTTTACACCTTCATATGTTTTTGTCCTTGAGCAGCCCCCATGTATGACACCAAACCATCACTCTCTTTCTTGTCTTAATATTGAGATTTACTGTACTATTTGTTCCTGGAAAACCTCTCCATGAATTAGGAAGCCAGTGATGGTCTTGACATAGCACTAGCATGAAGTGTTCACAGTTTTGCTTCTTACAACAGTTCTTCGTAAAGCACCATGGATTTAGATTGGTTATAATCATCACAAGAACTGTAGGGACTTTTGTTGCTAAAACGTGTCTGATTCCTCCCCCCACTCCCTTGTAGTGACAAGCTTGCATTAGTTGTCCCTTGAAATAGCAAAACAGAAATGCTGCTGCTAAATACCCAGCATCACCTGTAAAGCCTTCTGTCCCTGTCCCTGTCAGTTTGGCACCTCTGTTTACACAGTCCTGAAATGTATTACAAATCGCTGTTGTTCCTGTTAATATTGAACCAGTTACTATCCCAACATCTCATTTGTGTCATAATTCAGTCTTACCTGTATTTGTAATGTTGGTTTCAGATCCAGGTTATGTCCACCACAGAAACAATAAGGACAAAACATTTTGTGATTGAAAGGTTTCCTTCACTACTTCATGTAATTTTTAAAAGTGCTTTTAATTGTGCACCTATTTTTAATCTGTGAATGCTTAAATAATTTCAAGTAGAGGTGTAGATAAATAAAAGTATATATAATATAATAAATATTAAATAGAAATTTTATATACACAGCTTGCTACTTGGCTTACGGTGGTTACAGTAGTTAAATAACCTTCTCCAGGAGTTGGACTCCTTGTGGGTCCCTTCCAACTCAGGATATTCCCTGCTTCCATAATTAGAATTGTACACAGAGTGATTGCCTCTCCTGTCCTTTCCTCAGAGGCCCTGCACCGCCCCTACGGTTGTGATGTCGAGCCCCAGGCACTGAACGAAGCCATCAGATGGAGCTCCAAGGAGAACCTGCTTGGAGCCACTGAGAGCGATCCCAATCTCTTTGTTGCACTTTACGATTTTGTAGCAAGTGGTGACAACACACTCAGCATCACCAAAGGTAAGACTGGGAGCACAGAGCAGCTGTGGGCTTGAAAACTTAGCAACAAAAATCAGGAAGTGGAATCCTTTCCTGGATAGGAATGGGAATAGCGAACTGAGAGAATGGGAATACTGCACTTTAGAGAAGGTGATGCCCTACACTGATGGTGGGAAGCAGGTAGTCTAACACTCCCTGGTGTTAGAGGGACACCTGCTGGGCAGTTCTGCTGGGACAGTCACAGTCCAGCCCATTCCTGTGCCAAGCTCCCGAAATAAATGGCCCTGTGAGATACCTGCTGTAGGAAGGGCTGAGGGAAGTGAGTACATCATAGATGGTAACAGAACTTGACAATTTCCGCCAGGGGCAAAATCAAGAATTGAGCTTGCACAGACACTTTCTGATTCTGGTCATTACATGTGTCAGAACTGTTAAATTGTATATCATCTAAAGCTTCAAGGAAACAAACCTCATCCCTCCAAGAAAATAAAATCTTCCTAGTCTAATAAGCTGGAGTACAAGAAGCTTTTCGAGTTCCTCTTACTGCACTAAATCAATGAACAGTATCCTAGGTATTCTGTCTGAGCCTTTGCTTCATAAATACTTCATATGTAGCAGTTTAATTATAAGATGATTTCTATTGTTAAGCTACAAACCCAGGCTCAACTGATGCTGAGTTTCTCCCTCAAGGAGACACAACAGCTTGCACTGTGCTTATTTTGGGTTTTTTTCTTTCTGGTCGCAGGTGAGAAGTTGCGAGTCCTGGGTTACAACCAGAATGGTGAATGGAGTGAGGTACGTTCGAAGAATGGGCAGGGCTGGGTACCAAGCAACTACATCACTCCAGTGAACAGCCTGGAGAAGCACTCGTGGTACCACGGGCCTGTGTCCCGCAGTGCAGCAGAGTATCTGCTGAGCAGCCTCATCAATGGCAGCTTCCTGGTGCGGGAAAGCGAGAGCAGCCCAGGGCAGTTGTCCATCTCGCTCAGGTACGAAGGACGTGTTTACCACTACAGGATCAACACCACCTCGGATGGGAAGGTAAGGACCTCTGGACAATGCTGTGGGGAGAGGAGATGAAGATATTAATTAAGAGGTGGTGCAGAATCTCAGGTTGCAGATCTAGTGTTAATATAAAAGAAGAACACGTGTCCCAAGGGTTTGGTGGTAATTCCCCAAACAGCACTTTGAAAGAAGTGCAGACAGTTCTCGTCTGGGCTGAAAGTAGCTGGGTAGCATGGCAGCTGTGGTTAGAGGTGGTGATAACCTTCCACTGATCCCTTTAGAAGCAGCAGAGCTTTGGTAAGTTGGCATTTTTAATCGAGATCAAGCAGTGGCATGTGGTGCTGAGAGACCTAAGAATTCCAGTTTCTGGTCCTGTAAAGCACAAGGCAGGAGATAGCACAGCTCTTAAGTGATGGCTTATATGTAGTTGCCTTCTGCAGGTAAAAATCCCACAGATTAATAGTTAATTGCCCAACAAGAAGAGAACAAATACTCTAAAATCCTGTTTTTCTGATTAAAAAAAAATTTAGAATGTTTGTACCTGTCTTCCAACGTTACTGAAAACTTCCAGCTGCCTTCATTTAAGCAGATTCCTGTTTCTTGCTTAACAGGTCTATGTGACAGCAGAAAGCCGTTTCAGCACCCTGGCAGAGCTCGTGCACCATCACTCGACAGTGGCAGATGGCCTGGTGACAACTCTGCATTACCCAGCACCCAAGTGCAATAAGCCCACCGTGTATGGAGTGTCCCCCATCCATGACAAGTGGGAGATGGAGCGCACTGACATCACCATGAAGCACAAGCTCGGGGGAGGGCAGTATGGAGAGGTCTACGTGGGGGTCTGGAAAAAATACAATCTCACAGTGGCTGTGAAAACGTTAAAGGTGAGTTTTCAGATTTTGGGCACTGTTCATTTGGTCACAGTTTATGACATGAGTAAGGAAATTGTAATGTTCTCAACTACACTCCCTGATACGGACATCAGAAGATGGAGTGTGCTGATCTGCATAAAATCAGTGCTTGAGAGTAGCTTTGCAGATCAAAGTGACCTTATCAAACTTACACCAGTCCACGTGGCTTAGAAGCACATAGGAATTTTGGCCCAGCTGGAGCTGCATGTCCAAGTCAGACCAGTAGAAAGGGTTATAAACCAAACTTCCTCCAGTGGAGCTGTGGAGGCTTTAAGAAATCAAAGGTATAGAAAAATACCTTCAATAACCTGTCCTCCACTCCTGAAAAAAATTCTCCATTTCTCTTCCTTTTCAAAACCTTGTGTTTGTTTCAACATTAACAACTGCAATTCTAAGTGCTCCCTGAGTAATTTAATTTTTATAGCTGTACAGGGGAACTAAATCAGTGATCCTGAGAGTCTTCCTCTCACCAGCCACAACAGCTACCAAGTGAGCAAGCCTGGCCCTGCCAGGGTACTGCAGATCGGTCTGCAGGACAGCCAGGCAGCTGTTCAGGGTTGTTACAGTTTGCTTTGGTAAAAGCCTAAACAGCAGAATGGAGACAAAGATGCCATCATTTATATTCAACCTGGATGTGTGGTGTTAACCAGACCTCGGTCATGAAGATAAATGTTCTCTTCTCTTGTCTCTATCTAGGAAGACACCATGGAGGTGGAAGAGTTCTTGAAAGAAGCTGCTGTGATGAAGGAGATCAAACACCCAAATCTAGTGCAGTTGTTAGGTCAGTGAAATGCCTTGCTCTTTGTGTTCTTACTTAGTCTTTATTTTGGCAGAAACTTGCCTAGTTTAAATGCAGTGGCAGCTCTTCTGTATTTATATAACTTTATGAATCAGGTCAGGGGTGGTATTTTTGACAGCTTTATGTAATATTGGAGCTGAGAGACACTAATTTTAAATAAAACATCAAATACAGTCACTTACATTAGTAGACAACTTTGCTGTTGAGGCATGACTGTTACATAAAAGTTTGCAATATCATCCTCTTGCTGGTTTATGTCCTTGGCCTTAAACATGCTTCAGGGTTCAGTGATCAGGTTCAGATTCCTTCTCTGCTCTGTTAAATCAGATTTACAAAATCATTTTCTGTGACTTATTTTTCTGAGATAACAGGAAAAATTGTAAGAAAATTCAAAGTGAAAGGAAAATTCTGTTGGAAGCACAACAAATACCGTTCTCCATACTTCTCAAATCAGAGACTTTTACAGAAAAGTCTACATTGAAGAGATCAAATTGGTCTATAATTAGGCAGACTATACCAGATTGCTGCTGCTTCAAGGAACTCTGTGTATCACCAAATAAGTACATGAGATCAAACAACTCAGGACTGGAAAAAATCCACAGGCTTCACATCTTGGCTCTGCCCTGTTGTCTCACTGGCAGATGCGTGATACGATGATCATTATTAAACAATTTGCATAGCTGCTAAATCTACATGCACAAAGATTCTTAAGGAGACACCCTAAACCTTTACTAGTGTGTAATTGCCTCTGGATTTTTGGCACTTTAAGGAGCAGAGCTGTCAAGCCAAGCCTAGGATGAAAGAAGAAATGTAAAGAATTTGAAGGCTTTTACTAATGGCAACTGTTCTGAACCCGTTTTTAAAAAAAGGGCACAGATGAAGTGTGTGCCAGCCCTGTCTGGTTCCAGGAGCAGCGATTCGGAGATTTGTCATCAGAGAGCTGCATTTTTCCTCTTTCTGAAGCACAGTGCAGTTGTGCTTTACTCCTGAATGTGTAAAGAGCTGCAGGGTGGATCCCAGAGCTGTGACAAGAGTATCCTGTTCCTTCCTCCTCCGCCTTTACATGCTTCGTACAGTGACTGTAGCAAGGAATCATCCCAGGAATGTGTGAGAATGCTGCTCTAGGAGCAGGTCCCACCGTGCTGATTCCTTACCCAGCACATGGGAGTGCTTCACATTACTCTGTAGTGACGTTTCAGTCTGGAAATCTTGCCAGCTGACAGGTACCTGCTTCCATTTGGCTACTCTTCAGCTTTATGAAAGCAGAGAGGGAAAGGAAAGCAAACTGTGTGTTTATAATTCTCCTTTTTCATTCTGCAACCTTTCAAAGAACAGAACTACTGCTTCATGTATGTTAGATAGGAATAGTGGTGCTTTCATGGACGTGTTTCTCTCTATCCATAAAGTGGATGGGGAGAAAAACTGAGAAGCCCTGAGTTTGGGCTGCACTGACCTGGGTCTTGTACATGGAAGTCTTCACTTTCCCAGAGAAACACTCAGCAGTACAAAATGCAATAAATGGCTGTTAAATCAGGAACAGGAGTGAGAAAGGGAGCTTTATTCACATGCTGCCTACTCCTCCCTGGCAGGTGTGTGCACCCTGGAGCCCCCCTTTTACATTGTGACGGAGTACATGCCCTACGGGAACCTGCTGGACTACCTGCGGGAGTGCAACCGCGAGGAGGTCAGCGCTGTTGTGCTGCTCTACATGGCCACGCAGATCTCCTCTGCCATGGAGTACCTGGAGAAGAAGAACTTCATCCACAGGTGAGTGAAGTCATGTTGAGCTGGTACAGTTTCATATCGCAATGATAAACAGGCCACCAGAATGATGGGCCAGGAATTCCAGCTTTTGGGGAGGTTTCTTCCATAGCGGGGATTCACACTGGCTTATCCATTGGCTGTGTTGGCTTCAGTACTGTCTTGCAATACCTTCTCTCCAGGACTTTCATAGCAATCTTGTGCCCAACTGCCTGGCAAAACCTGTGCCTCCTGTGTGCAGACAGTGCCCACTCAAAGTCCTGTTTAAATGCAGGTAAAGCTATGCCATAAACCTGTTACCAGTGTGTGATGAGCTGCTGATCCCATCCTATCCTCAGGAAACCTGAACTTGGCACCGTAACAGCCATCATTACTGGAAATTAATAGAATTTAAAGAATTAATCCTAATCCTGATTTACTTTATTGTTCCTAAGAATAAGTCCACTCAGTTTCTGACACTGTTCAGGGCAAAGCTCACCTTGCCTCTACCTGCTGTATACAGAGAGCACTTTCAGGGCCCCAAAAATACGTTCAAAAGCCCTTCTCCTGCTGCAGTAGTGTCCTTTGTTCCTTTGTACAGGGACCTGGCAGCACGGAACTGCTTAGTTGGAGAAAACCACGTGGTGAAGGTGGCTGACTTCGGCTTAAGTCGACTCATGACTGGTGATACCTACACAGCCCATGCTGGGGCCAAGTTCCCAATCAAATGGACAGCTCCCGAGAGCCTGGCCTACAACACCTTTTCAATCAAATCAGATGTGTGGGGTAAGAAACTCACCTTCAGTGTCCTTTTCTTGTTCATTTTGGTTTTTTCTGCTAGCCCAGACAATAGCTTGCTTTCTGGCCTGGGCAGAAACCTTTGTGAAGATGGTCACGTGCCAGAACTTCATGAATCAATAACATTTTTAGCATGTGATGTCTCCACCTAGACTGACCTGAAATACCTGTAAGGAAACAATGCTGCCTCAAGCTGCAGCGAAGGCCACAGAGTAATGACCAACACAAGGGCAGACTTATGACCAGGAATTTTGTTTTCCTCCTTTTGCAGCCTTTGGGGTGCTGTTATGGGAAATTGCTACCTATGGAATGTCACCATACCCAGGCATTGACCTCTCTCAGGTGTATGATCTGCTGGAAAAAGGCTATCGGATGGAGCAGCCAGAGGGGTGCCCTCCCAAGGTGTATGAACTGATGAGGGCATGTGAGTATCTTCTTCCACTTTTGGGGACAAAGCCTGGGAAGGTGGGAGGAATCTGTAATTAACAGCCTGTTCTCCAGCAATACCTGATCCTCAGCATGTCAGTCGCGGTGGGCTTCAGTTATGAAACAAAGAAGGTGAAAGATATTACTGCTTAAAAAACCTTAAGGAAGCTGACAAAAGCCCAAAGGCTGGGTACTCACACATTCCTAATGCAAAATAAGCAGAATGCCAGTCACTTTCCAGACCCTGTGGTGATACCAGCAGACAGTGCTTCCAGAATATGTTCCTCTAGTGCAGATTTCTAACTACAGAAATTGCACTTTTTGTCATGATACTCTTCTGTAACTTTCCAAGCTCCATCTAGGACCAAGGCTCTCTCCTCCTCTTTCCCACAGAGGGTGCACACATATACGGACACATATTGAGAAAGTAAGAAAATTACAGCCTGAAAAACATTCCAGGCTGGATCTTTTCAGCTCTGTTCCCAGCCGATAAGCTGGTCCAGCTCAAGGCTAGGGAGAATTTCTCCCAGGGTGATAATTTGGTCAAAATAAAAAGGAATTAATAACAAGATAGAACACCTGTTGTGGTGTGTGACCAGGCCCTGGCAATGGGGTGTCTTCTCTCTGAACCAATCACCTTTTCTCTACTCTTGGAATTGCGAGTCATGCTATAAAACCAAGTGTGTTTCTGAATAAACTTGGCTCTTTCTTCCTGTCATGAAAGACGACCATGTAGCTGTGCATCTTATTTCCACTGCACTTAAAGGGTTAAAATCCCTTTCCACAGCTACACACACATCCTTCTTTTGGAAGGCTCTGCTTGAATTTCAGTGTTAAGAGCATGTGAGCAGGATGGTGCCTGGAAATTTACACACTCAGTTATCTGTGACTGGACTAGATGTGTTCAGTCCAAGCAGCCAGGGTAGCAAATAAGGAATTGTTCTTTGCCCAAAAAATTCAGAAAGGGCGATAGGGAGATCTGTAAATCCTGTGGAGTTGGCAGAGAGCTGGGATTTTTAGAATTGGTTCTCAAGATTTGTTTGTGAGGATACAGTAGGGTGACTGACTGCTGCCATGAATCACTACCTGTGAATGACTCTAAAGCCTCTCACTGAAGTCTAAAGTTTAAAGTAGGTCAGACTCTGACTACTTTCTGTCTCCTTGGACAGAAGAAAAATTCATCTCCCTGTTTCAGGCACTGAGACTTACTCTGCTTTCTGGCATTGCAGGCTGGAAGTGGAACCCACCAGACCGACCTTCCTTTGCTGAAACCCACCAGGCTTTTGAAACCATGTTCCACGACTCGAGCATCTCAGAGGGTGAGAGCTGCTGTTGTTTTGCTCCTGAAACAGCACTGGAGGTTATCTCCAGAGTGCTGTGTCTCATGGATGAGCCCTTAAGGCTCATCTGCTGGCAGTGGGGTTGAAATGGAGCTCCATCCCTTACTCTTTTAGCTGTAACTGGGATAAATACATTTACTTACTTGTTTCACATGTACTGAATAGACTTCAGACACATTCCAGTGCAGAGAACAGTGTCATTTCATTTGAGCACTAAGATGCCAAAGAGCTGATTTGAAGAAGGTTGTCTCCTCTACCAGAGGAAATCTCTTGTTTTCCAGGCTGAAGAGTGAGGAATAGTAAGTGATGGAGAGAGAGAAAGATGTATGCATATCACAGTCCATTTCTGACTGCAACAATTAGGTCATGAAATATTATTCTACCAGCCTCCACTTTTAAAAAATGTGCTTTAATCTCTGGATTTTCTGCTTAGCTACTTCTAGGAGCAAATCTGTGCAGCTCAAGTCTGAAATAAAATCTACCAAGAGGTGAATACTGGCGAGGAATGTGATACTATTCAGCAGACAAGCAGAAATGTCAGAGCATCCTGCCCGGTTTTTAAATTAAATATTCAACTCATCCATCAACTTCCCTACTACAGAGAAAACTCATCAGATGGAATTTTACCAGTGAGGATCCATAATAGGCACATCCAGTGGCCACACAAATGCCAAGATTGGTGTGGCCAGGAGGTTGTGGGGCTTTTCCTGTGTTTGTTTTCTTTTTGTTGACCTATTGTTGACATGCAGTCTTAATTTCTTCATCCAGGGAGATGCAGTGCTTTGCCTTAAGCAAAGCAGTTTAGATCCAGATCCAGGGAGGACACAACTTTGGGGGTGCATCAGTAGGAGGCAGCTTGATTAAAAACAGGCAAATGCATCCAGTGCTGCTTTTAGCTCTTGAGTAGCCCTAAAGAGACCCCCTGTATAGATTCTACCTACTGCTTTTATTTTGGCTGAATTTATAAAGATGTAAATGAGTTTGAAATCGTTATGAAAAAATCTGACCCTGAATACCTCTAGACCTGAACAAAGACTAAATCCCTAAATTGTGTATTTCTGTCATGGATCTCTTCCTGCCAGTCTGTGTTTGCAGTAAAGACACAGGGGGGTTTTTTCCCCTCTTCCTTTGCTGGTCTCTGTTTTGACTATTCCCTTTTTTTTTCCCTACAGAGGTAGCAGAGGAGCTTGGAAGAACAGCCTCATCCTCATCCATAGTTCCTTATCTGCCCCGCTTACCCATGCTTCCCTCCAAGACGAGAACGCTGAAGAAACAGGCAGAGAACAAGGAGAACATTGAAGGAGCACAGGACACTGTGGAGCACTCGGCGTCCAGCTCAGCACCAGGTGTGGGCACAGGGAAGCAGCGAGGCCATGTGCTCTGGGTGTAAATTCTCAGAGAAACAGACAGCAACATGACATGGGCATGCTTTGTGCTGCTATGTCAATTATTTACTAGCACATAGAAAACACTGTAGTTTTTTCAATGTTCTTTTAGTAAATCTAATTTTTTTTTTTTCTTTGAAATTCAGTTTTGCTGCTTTTTAAAATGACAGCTTCAAAACTAAAGTTAACAATGCAGCAAGATATTTTCTCCTATACTTAGGGTATTTGGAAAGGAGCAGAATATTATAGAAAGGGAGCAATAAACTGAAAGAAAAGAGCAACTCTTTTCTGATCTCTCTCCAAAGTGACCTTCTCAGTATAGATAACAGACAAGTCACATGCAGAAATGGAAAAAAGTAAAGAAAAAATAAAATACAAGTGTTCGCATCTTCCTTCACTCTATCTCTGCAGCACGTGGGCAGGTAAATACACCAGGCCTATAAAACCCAGTGCAGGACAGGGAGGTGGAAATGGAAGTAGATTGTCCAGATTAACACCTGTTTCTCCTGGCCAGGTTTCATCAGAAGCACACAGCCGACAGGCGGGTCCCCCGCGCTGCCCCGCAAACAGAGGGACAAGTCCCCCAGCAGCCTCCTGGAGGATGCCAAAGAGACCACGTTCACCAGGGACAGGAAAGGGGGCTTCTTCAGCTCCTTCATGAAGAAGAGGAATGCTCCCACGCCTCCCAAGCGCAGCAGTTCCTTCCGGGAGATGGAGAACCAGCCCCATAAGAAATACGAGCTGACGGGTAACTTTTCCTCTGTTGCTTCCTTGCAGCACGTGGACGGGTTCTCCTTTGCTCCCGCGCAGCAGGACACGAGCCTGGCACCCCCCAAGTGCTATGGAGGGGGCTTTGTGCAGAGGACCTTCTACAGCGAGGAGGGCACTGGGCCCAGCAGTGCTGGGGGTGTGAGCACTGGTGGAGGGTGGTCGGGCATCACTGGCTTCTTTACGCCGCGCTTGATTAAAAAGACGCTGGGTTTACGAGCAGGAAAACCCACTGGCAATGAAGAAGCTTCAAAGCCTTTTCCAAGGTCAAACTCTACATCTTCCATGTCCTCAGGGCTTCCAGAGCAGGATAGGATGGCAATGACCCTCCCCAGAAATTCCCAGAGGTCAAAAATTCAGCTGGAACGGACTGTGTCCACCTCCTCCCAGCCCGATGAGAGCACAGGGAGGGCCAGTGACCTGATTCCCAAAAGGTTTGAAGAAGGCCCTGCTTTGACCAGAGAGAGACCAAAAGCAAAGCTCTTGCCAAGGGGTGCCACAGCACTCCCTTTCCGAACTCCATCTGCATCAGAAGAAAAGGAGGGTCCAGGGCTAGTGGCAGCTCCTAAGGGCAAAGAAAAAAACAGTGGCCCACGACAAGGGGCCCTTGAGGATGGCGAGAGGCCGGGGTGGTCATCTCCGGTAAAGGCTGCAGCAATACTTCCAACCACTCATAACCACAAAGTGCCAGTCCTAATCTCACCCACTCTAAAACACACTCCAGCAGACGTGCAGCTCATTGGCACAGACTCTCAGGGTAATAAATTTAAGCTCTTATCTGAGCATCAGGTCACTTCTTCCGGCGACAGGGACCGGCCCAGACGGGTAAAACCAAAGTGTGCTCCACCTCCACCCCCGGTGATGCGGCTCCTCCAGCAGCCAGCTACCTGCTCGGATGCAGCAGAAGAGCTGAGCAGTGTGGCGGGAGTGCAGCACGGACTGGAATCAAACGAAGGGAGTAAGAAGGCAGCAGCAGCAGCAGCAGCACCTGTTGGTGGAAAATCTGGGAGGCCCGTGATGCCTCCGCCTCAAGTGCCTCTGTCATCGTCTTCCACCTCCCCAGTGAAAATGGCCAATGGCACGGCTGGCACCAAGGTAGCGCTGAGAAAGACCAAACAGGCGGCTGAGAAAATCCCCGCAGACAAGATCAGCAAGGAGGCGCTGCTGGAGTGCGCTGATCTCCTCTCGAGTGCCATCGCCGAGCCCACGCCTAACAGCCAGCTGGTGGACACGGGGCACCAGCTGCTGGATTACTGCTCAGGCTACGTGGACTGCATCCCGCACACGCGCAACAAATTTGCCTTCCGGGAAGCCGTGAGCAAACTGGAACTCAGCCTGCAGGAGCTGCAGGTGTCCTCGACAGCTGCTGGCGTCCATGGGGCAAACCCCGTCCTTAATAACTTATTGTCATGTGTCCAAGAAATCAGTGATGTGGTGCAAAGGTAGCTACTGTCAGTCTGGGTAAGAGAAACACACACGGGGAGGGCGGGACTGTTTTTCTGTACTGATGCTTTCAAAAGGAAAGACTGATACTTGAGTATGTGAAGTACCTCAGATCACTGAGTTCTCCTCACGTTTACAGGTTCATCTCAAAAAATTGGGGATGGAGAGGGTAGATTAAAGCTGTAAGGGGCAGAACATCAAGGATCTGTCCCTACCTAGTCAGGCTGATCTGCTTGGTATGGCAAGGGAAAGAAAGTTCCTTCTCCTCCCCTAGAGAGGAAGGAGAACCGATGGCAGGTTCTCCCTCTGGGCAGGACGGTGGTGACAGCCAGAGTCCTGGGGTGGCTGCAGCTTCCTGGCTGCACAGATCCTGCCCTAGCTGCACTCACTGTGCTTTGCTGTCCTGACAAGGCCAAGGAAAGGCACTGGGGCTCTGCTGGTACCAGTGGCAGAGCAGCCAGAGCGGCTCCAGAGAGGAGTCGTGTGCAGCTGGGGGAAAGGTCTAATGCACTGACAGTATTCAGAGCTGCTGGAGGTGGATGCACTGGTCTGGATGGCTTGCCTTCCACAGCACTGTTGCTGCTGTAATGAGAACTGCAAGATTAGTTAATATATGAAACTGTCCCTTTTCCCTCCTGTCCACCTCATCCACCACATTCTCATCATCATTGTATTGGAAGCGTCAGGGATGCTGGGCAGACTTACCACTGGAATTCCCCCTTCCCACCACACAGCCTTCACTCAGCTGATACCTATTTCTAGTGGTCTAGCACAGGTGCTGCTTGACGGTAATTTTTGAGTAGTTTGGGGCTCTTGCACAACTTGCCAATGTTGTTGTTGGGGTGGGTGGGTTATTTCTTTTTTTAAGCTCTAGATTGTTTTTAGCTTGTTACCAGGTTGACTCCCCAGTTCAGTTTGGTCACCATGAGGACCCATGGTAGATAAGGCAGAGCCTCTCACCCCCTGGCTGTTCTCCACATTCCTTTAGCAGTCATAGCACTGCAGGGCCAGCTGGAGAACCAGGAAGTACAGCCCAGCCTGCCCACCACAGGCTGCAGGATTCCCTGGACCTGTCCCTAACCCTTCACACTGCCAGATTCTTGGGATTTGTTCTGATGCTTACCTGTCCCACAGGCTTCCAGCTTCCCTGCATCTCAAGGTGATAAAGTATGGCAGCACACAGGGAAACACCACAGGCATCTCCATATATTTGTTCCCATATTTTAAATGCTAGACCAGAATCCTGCACTGTGGTGTAGGGAACGTGCACATAAACTGTGCACTCCTCTGCCTGAGGTGTGGCAACAAAAGCTGTGGCTCTACCTTGAAAGGCTCCCACTGGGTTTCTAATGCCTTCTAACCACCCCAGAATGAGAGCAGCCTAGTGGTTGGCATTGTCATCCTTAGTCCTGGTGCTGTTTGCAGACTGTTGTGGCCTCAAAAAGCTGGTCTATGTCTATGCACAACTCCCCAAGGTGTGAATGTACTGGCAAGTAGGAAGAGCTCAGTTGCTGGTTTGTGAGAGGAAAGGAAACAGGCCTGAAACCTGGCTCCAAATACACCTTACCTGCATGCTGCTGCTCACTTCACACTGCTGCTGATAGAGGATCTCGCTTGCTTTGCACCTTAAGTCTCTTTCTTTTTGGCTAAAACGCTTTTTAAACTTGTTTTTCAAGTGTGGCCATGCTGCTTTTAGTCTGAGCATTTAGAGTGGAGCTGTGGCACAGGTGTGACTTCAGAAGATGGACACTTCCTTTTCTGTCTAGAAGCACATGTTAGTGCTTGGAAGCAGGCTGAGTGTCTCAGCAAGTGTCCCTGTTTTTTCCACAGAGCATAGCGAGACAGGCCTGGAAAAATCTTTAGAAACGGGCTGGTGTCTGAGAATCCTCATTTCATTACTGGTCCGAGCTAAGCAAAGTTGTTTCAAGGTTCGTGGAGGCACAGTAGAGGAGCAGCATGGGAGGTACAATGGACTTCTGTGAGCTTCTGTGGCCCAGGAAGTGAAGTGGTGGGGGAAAAAGAACCAAACAACCCCTTGTGCTGGCAAGTCCTGATCGCCTGCAGCCCTCGGGGCTGTCCCAAGGCTCTTCCACAGGCAGAGTACCAACCCCTTATCTCGTAGACTTTACTGAGGGCTTTTGTGGTTTACCTTATCTCTTTCAGTCATCTTCATGGAAGGTGTGCATCCAAACTAACTGCCTAAGGTGACCTGCAAAGGGAAGGTGGCTTGTGGCATTGCTTCACACAGCCTGTCAAACAGTCAGAAGAATTTAGAAGGTGAGGAGCTCTTTTTTCTTCAGGGCAGAAGGGCAGGTCTTGCCTACCATGGCAGACCACCACATGGTTCCATCATTGTACTGCTGCTCAGCCTGGGACAAATGGGCTGGAACTGAGGGGATTCCAGGGGAAAGGAATTTTAATGAGAACATTTTAAAGCTTAGCCCAATTCTGATGAGTATTGATAAGTATTTTGAAAGAAGGTTTTTTGTTTTTTTTTCCCTAAATGCCAGTCTTCCAGAAAAACTACAGCAAAAGTGATAGAATAACAATATGGGATTTCTAACTACTGGAACTCCCCTCTTGCAGCCCTTTCTGAAGAAAGCAGCTGTGTCCCAATGAACACTGGCCATCCCCACTTCCTTTCAGATGCCCCATTTTTTCCTTGCCTTCGCAGCAGAGATGGGCAGGGGGACAAGGTAGCATCCAACTGCTTTTCCAGAGTCACAGAATGGCTGAGGTTGGAGGGACCTTTGGAGGTCACCTGGTCCAAACACTCTACCCAAGCAGGGCCACCAAGAGTCACCTGTGAGGACCACGTCCAGGCAGCTTTTGGGTGTCTCCAAGCACAGAGACTCTACAGCCTCTGTGCCCAGCACAGGAGCCCATTTAGTTCTGACTCCTCCTGTGGTGCAAAAACAAAGGCCAGTGGAATTTGGGGATTTGCCTGTTGTCACTCTTATGGAAAGTGTTTGCTCTGCTCTTATCTATCATCTAACATCAGGTAGGCAGATTCTGCCAGAGGTGTTGACTTGACAGGGTTTTTTTCCTCCTAAATTGAAGTCTGCAGAATTGCTGGGACTTCTGCTGCCCTAAAGTGTTTTATTCCCAAACTGCAATGTTCCCCAGCCCTCTGGCAGAATAGCAAAAGGATGCTATCTGGGAAAGATGGTTCTGCTGTAATTTGCCATCCAGTTATTCTTCCTTCCACAGCTACTTCTAAAACTTTCACCATTTTCTCTCCCTTTAGCTAGGTCTGGCTTTCTCTTCAGCCTTAAGGGTCTCCACTGTGGCCAATTCTCTGTTTTCAGCCTGGCACCAGATGTGCAAAGAAATGTGTGGGTGCTGAGACCCCATTATTTGTCCCAGAGAAGAGCCGTTCATGTTCCATGGTTTGGAGCAGGGGACAAGGCATAAATTCTGTTTTAAGAAACAGCACTCCTGAGCACTGTCAGGCAGCCATGGGGGCATGGCTGCAGCTGGGCTCTCTCACCTGCACTGCTATGGGCCAGAATTTTAAGCAGTTGTCCTTGCCATGCAGATGGCATCCACAGGCCTGGCCCCACCAAGCACAAAGCACAGAGTGAGCTCAGGGGGGCACTTTCTCTTCCTACCACTGTGGGAATTAGCTGACTCACCGGTGCAATTCTCTCTTCTTCCTGCACTGTACATCCTTCTTAATCCCAAACTGGTGCACTTGATTTAGTCATGTTCTTCATTAGTGTGGGTAGGGGCGAAGCTGAGCTAACAGTCTGGGTCTTGGCACTGCACCAAATTTAGCCAGTGGGAAAGGGGAATTGAAGGGAGCAGTGTTGCTGATGCAGAACACAGCAGGGAGGGAGAGAGGAGGGCTGTGCTTGTCCTCTTCAGGACATTTCTCCTGGATGCCACTGGCCTTGTGTCTGTGAGACACAGCCAAACACAAGTGTTGACATCTGTCAGGGTGCTTTTGCAGCAGTTGTGGGGCACAAACCCCACAGCGGAGACAGAGCAGGCCCTCTCCACCAGGCAGAGGTGTGGGTGGGTTACACTGTGCAGACACAGAGTAATCCCAGCCCTCGTGTCCTACCACTTACCTGAGGCAGGCTTTTCCTCTGGGGCATCCACAGCACTGACTGGCACGAGTGACTCCAGAGGATGGTGGTTACAAAGCCATCATCAGCTGCTGCCTTCTCGTGTGACAGCTCAGCCCTGCTGCTCATCAGGAGCCGGCAGGGACACTGAAAGGTTGCACGTGTGGAAACCTCCCAGGGCACTGTCCAGCACGGTGGGTGCTGGGCTTGTGCTGCAGATCCCTGGAGTATAGAACAGAGCCCTCAGCCCATTCTCTGGTGGCAGGAACAGGAGGTTCTGGGACACTGACTTGTTTCTCACAGCTCCACGCTAAGCAATGTCTGTACCAAAGGAGGTCGTTCTTCCCCATGTGTCTGTTGTGCACAGGAGGTGGAGCCTGCTCGGCTCACATGGCACTGTTTGTAGTGGTAGTGAACTCGTTGAGGGCAGGAATGGATTGAAATGAAACACGTTAATCACCAATCACTCTTAGCAGTGTTGTCAACTGTTTTTGTTTTTTAATTGTTATTGTAATATATTTTGGTTGTTTTTCTAATTTAATTCTCTCACTATTGTCTGACTGTGAACTGCGAACAGTGTTAAACTTGATGTAAATAAGGCTCTTGGAAGGGCCTCTTTGCCTGTCGTTCCACAAAGTTTTGCCAATTTGCATTTTGTTTTAAATAAAGGTTGCAATATTTTATTGGCAAAAACCACTTGAGTAGATGCTGAGTGGACTTTTTTTTTCCCTTAATGAATATTTGAAGCTGCTCAGTCCTAACCAGAAGCTCATTCATTTGGGTAGAAAAAATGTTAAAAAGAGAAATAATTTAATTCCACCAGATTGCAAAAAAAGCAGTATCTTTATTTATGTGGTATCTGTTTAGATGCAGACTGTTGCCCTGGTGTGGTCAGAGAGCAGCTCTTGCTGTTGTAGGGCTGATCAGAGCTCACTCGAGTGTGACACACACACTTGTGACCCAGCAGAGTGCAGCTCTCGCCTCGCCCAATGTCACCACCACCTCCCACCTCCTTCAGCAGCCACAGCCAGAGCTGCTCCCGTGCCCACCTCAAACCAGTCCCCCCCAGGCCTCCCACCACCCCAGCCTGTGGCAGCCTAACCCAGCTGAACACTTCTTGACATTTAGAAAAAATTCCACGTTATCCTGGCTTACACACACAACCTTTTGGCAGCTAACCTTCAACAAACATCTTGCTAAACTTTCTGCCCAGGTGACCAAACAACCCGAGTTGTGTCCTGTGAAGCAGAAGCCTCCCTGTCTCAGCTGGAGGCATTGCCCCCAGTGTTTCCCAGGTTTCTGACACTGGAAATTAACCATAAACCAAGTCTCAGAAATGCCTGATCACACATGCTGGCACAGCCTGAAGGTCCATCCCACACAGCCGGGTTAAGGCACCTGCAGTGGCTGAGCAGTGGGAAAGCAGCTGGCTCGTCTCTGCCTTGGACTATGAAGCCTCATGAGATAACGGAGCCAGCGTGCCCGGAGGGAAGCAGGGACTCAAAGTCTGCAGGGCTCAGACGTGTCTGTCTGGTCAATCTTTCCCAGAGGTCTTGCTGCTCATCACTGGCACTGCAAAATGGGTCAAAGCTTAAAATAGATCAAAGGTCCCCCTGTGGGGTGGCTGGGAAGCCAAGCCCTGTCCTTGGCAGGTGCTGATTCATTCCTCGCCAGCACAGCCCTGTTGGAAGGGAGTTTTGACCCAGAGGTCACAGAGTGATTCCTGTAACACTGATGAAATTTTTTGGAGCTGCTGCAACACACTTATCACCTGGTGAGTACCCAGACAGCAAACAGCCCTTTGTAATAGTAATAATAATAATGCTGATACCAGCCAAAACACCACAGCATGAAACGTACTGAAGAGAAAAACGAAAAAACCCAAGCTTTTACTGCATCCATGAAAATTCTCATTCAGCTGGAGCCTGATGCTTCAGCCACCATTCTCCTCATCTGCCCTTTGCCCTTGGCAGAGGAGTTCTCTCCCCTTTTTGGTTTTGCAGTGAAGGAAACAGGCTCTCACTGCAGCAGAAGTTCCCCTCACCCCGGCAGCTGCTTCCATACAACGGAAGACTCCGGTGAGAGGTGGACACTCCAAGGTGAGAGTTATGGATTTGGCATCTCCAGAGGAGATTATTCAGTCCGTTTCTCCCTGCACTGACTACGATCCTGGCCCATGTGTCCCTAAGCAGGAGACACCTTAGAAAGGCATGAGAGCAACAGAGGGGAAAAACTCCAGCAAAACAGTTCTGGGTGATCTTGTAAAGTGACTGAGAAAACTGGGGACAGGGACATGGCTTCAGTCATGCTGTCTCAACAGGACCAGCCTGTCCAAGGCTTCCTTTCACCACACAGCAACAAACCAAGGACTTGGGCATTTCCAGTCCCCACTCACGTGGAACAGCATCTGCCAGCAGAACCACATCACCCCTTCAGGCTGCTGCCAGCTAAAATACCAGACAGACTCCAAACGCAGCCAAGCACAGGCTGTCCCCCACATCCCAGGACTAAGGGATGCACGTCCTTCCCTGCAAGAGCTCTGGGAGTAACAGGGGGCTTAAGTCTCTGTGCAAGTGCCTGGCTGGGTCATCTGCGTCCGACCCTGTGTGAGGAGAGCAGCTCCCAGAGTGCAGAACCACCTTCAGCACACGTGTGGTCCCACCTGGTGTTCAAGGAAGGAAATAATTGATGCGCTGGGGCACGGATTTGCAGCCCTGTGCAGAGAAAAGCTTCTCCTCTTTGGGGACGAACACCATCATCTGGGCTACTTTGTCGAGCGTTTCCTCGGTGTAGGGAAGCCCACGGGCCAGGAAGGCATCCCGGGCACAGAGCCTCACGTGCTGGTATTCCAGAGGCAGGAATGGCACCACGAAATCGATGAGGTTCTCTCTGAGGAGGTGGCTGTGGGCATAACTGTTCTCTGAAGCAGAACACAAGACCAGGCAAACTCAGAAGCTTCACCTGAGAGCATCATCCCTCTGCAAGGCCAGGCTCGGCTCCAAGGGGCTCATCCAGCCGTGGGTGGTGGGACCCACTCATCACTCTGAGTACAGAGGAATCACGCCAAGAGACGCCTCGGTACTGCCCTGTGACATTGAGCTGCCTCTTGCCCCCAGCCATTTTCAGGGTTGAAGGGGGCCAGAAGGCCTCTTGGCTCCCTCCCCACATTCCTTTTCTCACAGGGACCAAGGCAGGGGCTCTCATTGTCAACAACGCCGGGCTGGGGCGCAGCGAGGTCTTGTTCCCCCTTCCCCACCAGCCCTGTGTGACACACGGTGGATGGGACAGTGCAGAGGGGCAGCTTTGCAGGCACCTGCCCAGCGCCCCCCTGAGCAAGCCCAGCTCTTACCTGCAGGCTCCTGCAGCTCCAGCTGCAGCCGCTGTTCCAGGAGCTCCAAGGAAATCTCCTCCCGTGCCCGGCCGGCTCGCCAGAAGTCCAGGGCGACCTCATTGATGGTGTTGCCACCAAGATTGCTGTGGGCACACAAAGAAGTCACTCAAGATTTTCCCCAGAGCTGAACTGCTGAGAGCTGCCAACACCTTCCCTGCAGACAGGCCCCAACAGTTCTGTTGGCAACAGAGGGTTTGCTGTCTACAATCAGCACATGGAGAGCCAGCCTTCTTCCCAAAGAGCTCCTTTTAACAGGCATCAATGCAGCGGTCTGCCATCCTGCCAGCTCAGACCAAGGGGCAGCAGAATCTTCCATCTCCCTCAGTTCCCTGTCCTGGCTTGGAAAGCTATCGACGTTGCAGGTGACACCTGGCTCCACACCAAACGCTGACCAAGCCACCACAAAGTCCAGGTTAAAGGGCAGAGCACATGGCAGGAGTCCCACTGGAAGTAAAGGTCCAGGGCAGCGATTCAAGTGGCAGCCCAGCAAAGCATCCTCTGCCCATGGGACAAAGCAGCAGCACAGTTCCCACCTAAGGACTAAGGTTTGCTAGGTCCAGGGAGTGGTTGAGGGTCCCAGGACAGCCCTTCACCCTGGAAAGCAGGTCTAGGAAAGGTGTCCCCCCTCAAGTGCTGGTGAGGGTTTTGCCCCCAGCCCTGAATGCCCGAGTGAACTGGGAACCAGCTGGATGCAGAGCCTGTATGTGTGGGAGGCAGAGAGGCAGTGGGAGGCACAGATCTTGCACCCATCCTCATGTCAGAGGCTCTGGACCACGAATGGAAGTCAGGGAAAATGGAAAAGCCACCACTGTTTCCCAACCATGCCCCCACCCCTTGTAAGGGAGAAAACAGCTTGTACTGATCCTGCTCCCAGCCCAAACTCAGCAGGAACAGCCCCTTTTTGACTGGACTGGCAGCCAGTCCTACCCCCTCCCCAGCTCCTACACCTGGGAAAAGCTGCTGGACTGTGCCAGTGTCCACAGGAGCCCTGGGGCAGAGCCATCCCTCCTAAAGCAGGTCAGTGTCACACTGCCACCAGGAAATGATGAAACCCCTGAGATTACACAGTGCTGCAGTTCAAGGCACTCTGCTCCCCTCTGCTTGCTGGCGTGAGGGGGGTGACACATTGTCCATTCCTGACCTTCATGGCTCACCAGGCAGGACACAAAGTCAGCCCAGTGCAGCTGGCAGCACGTCCACCCTGTGCTGAACCTGCCCTTTCCACCACAGCCCCTTCCACGCAGGTGGGACTGAAGTGTGGCGAGTCCCACAGGCACTGGGCACACAGACAGGCCCTCCACAGGCAGAGAAACCTCTCTGAGGGAACCACCAAGCTTGGAGGTTGGAACACTTGCCTGGATGGTGGGGGGTGGAGGAGGAATGCTTTGCTTACCTCCACCCAGTAGGAACAGCTCCTGCCAGAGCCAAGCTGAAGACTGCAATTCTTAAACTGAAGGGGCCCCAAGATGTTCATCTCTCACACTTCAGGGGCTCTTCAGTCAGGTGCCTGCCTCATATGCTGGTTTTGAGATGTCCCATTTCTCCCTCCAGCTGCATCCCACCCAGAGACAGTGCTGGGGTGCACATGTGCCCAGCTCCTGGGAAAGGAACCAACTAAACCATGTTGTGCTGATGCCAGGATCAGCCTCACAGCACCTCAATCTGCAGCCACAGCCAGGCAGTGGGAACTCCCTAGCTCCCAGTACACAGGAACTTCCCACCAAGACCTTCAGCCCCAGCTTTGCTCCCTGGAGTGTGACATCTCCTGCTCAGCTAGGCAGGGTGAGACCATGTTAAGTGGCTCTGCTTCCTTGCCTCCAAGTCTAGACACTGGTTCATGTGTCCCAGCTCAGCTGGACCTCAGCTCCTCCTGCAAATGCCTTGCAACCATAGGTAAAACTGAACATGGAGGCAACCACCACGAGAAAACAAGGTATCTGTGCCCTCCCCTGCAGCCTCAGCCCCTTGTATCACACACCTCTGGGGATAAATACCATCACTTGGTTCCTCCCCATCCCTTCAGGGCACCAGAAATCACCTGAGGAAGAGGAATATGGGTCTCTGCTGGCCGTCGCTGTCCTGCTGAACCATGAAGGGCCTGATGGCATCCAGGAGGCTGGAATGCAGCTTCTCGGCCTCGTCGAAGATGAGCAGGGCCTGCCTGCAGCGCTGCAGGGTCTCGCTGATCTGCCTCTGCAGCTGGGCCTGTGCAGCAGCAGGGAGGAATGTCAGGAGCCCCTGGGATAACCCAGCCAGGCACCACAACTGCTCTGTCTCCTCCCACCCAGCAGGAAAGGACAGAACAGGAAGAGCAAAGGCAGGAAAACGAGTGAGATGAGATAAATTAGTTTATTAAGTGAAAGAAAGAGGAAAGAAAGAAATCAAGTGGTGCAAAGGCAGCCACAAACTGGCTGATGCCCAGCCAGTCCCTGAGCAATGGCTTCCTGCCCCCAAACACCCTTCCTGCAGCTTTTATTCCTGAGCATGACAGTAAATGACGTGGAATATCCCTTTGGCACTAGGGCTCAGGTCTTTGATGTGTCACAAACTTCTTGTATACCTCAGCCTACTGACCTCAGGGGCTGAGTGGAAGAGGGGGGAAGCCTTGAGGCCGTGCAAGCACTGCTCAGCAGTAACCAGGACAGAGCTGTGGGATCCAGCTTCACTCACAAACCCAAGCCCCTGCCCCACATGGCTGCTGGGACATGAACCCCAGCACACTGGGCCATCCCGTGCTGTTGGCTCTCACCTTGTAGGAGTCCACGTAGTTGTGATGTGGGAAGTGGAGGAGGGAGACGAACACCCTGACACAGTCACTCTTCAGCCCGTCCCGGTACAGGTGACTGGCCACCATCCGAGCCACAAAGTTCTTCCCTGTGCCAGACCAGCCATGGAAGGACAGGACCAGGGCCTTCTGGGGCCGTGGGCTCTGCAGGAACTCCTGCACTGCCCGCACCACCACTTCCTTGGCCAAGTGCTGCCCGTGGAGCTGCCCATTGAGGTCTGCCTCCAGCCCTGCACAGAGAGAGCACAAGCTCAGCCTTCAACCGCCAGCACAGCGACTGCAGGTGGGAATAAGGGGAGAAAACGTGGCAGGGCTGCCTGGCTGAGAGGACTCAGAAGTGGCATTAAAGCCACAGATGCCTGTGCCCTGCCTACATCAGCCTCTGGCCCCAAAAAGACACAAATCTTCCACTGACTCCTTTTTTCCTTTAGGAAGAGGTGGAGGTGTTTGGCAGCTGCAGAGAGCACCGATGCCCAAAGGCCCTCCCAAGCTCCCGGCACAGGTTTGCATACCAAGAATCTCAGGAACAGCAGAACACAAAGATACCTACTCATGGCTTACACACAGGTCTCAGTGTGCCCTCCCAACCTGGGGCAGGGTCCTGGCCAGTTAGGATCCCACTACATGTGCCTGGAAGCTATGGGATGCAGACAGGGCTTGTGGCAAGCTAAAGGAGATACGCTGTGCAGTAATGAACAAACTCTCTTTGGTCTGAGAACTTCAAATGGGACACAGGACTGAGCTCAGCCTCTCACAGCTCAGCACCCCACCCAGGAAAGCCCTTTACTAACACCACTTTCTAGCATAACAGGAAAAAACCTCAAAACAAGCCACACAAATAGCACAGCCCCTACCTGTGATGTTGTTGATTATCCTGCAGTCTCCTGTCTCGCAGCACCTGCCGAAGCTGCAGTACCAGGCAGAGAGGATCTCCAGGTAATCCCGGCCTATCAGAGGAAAGCCCCAGCCTGGAAACGGGAGCAGTCTGAACTGAGAGGTTCCAGGAAAGCGGATTTTTTTTTACTTTTGGGGTAGACGCTGGGAGAGGGCAGCCCTCTCCCAGGTGCATGGACTCAGCCATGCCCCTGCGGGCAGCCCTGACTGTGAGGAGGGACAGTGAGCTCAGAGCTGGCAGCAGCTGGTTCGAGACAGCTCCCAGTGCCCAACAAGTGCAAGAGCACTCCCGTCACTCCGGGCTCTGCCAAGGAGGGAGATACCTGGGGCAGCAACCTCGGGAGGGAAGGGCAGAGCCCCAGGAACCGGGGGCACAGCAGCGTCCGGACCTGCTGCTCCTTCCTGGGCATGGGAGAGGGAGAGAACAGAGCAAGCTGCTTACTTGGGATGGGACTGGCCTCTCCTTCTCTCTTCCGCTGCTTCTCCTCCTCCTCCTCACAGCCCTCCTGCCACACCTTGCACGCCAAGTACTGCCAATACTGCTTGGAGAGAGCACCCACAGCTCCCAAATGCTTCTTCACGGCTTCGTACCTCACCCTGCCCCACGGTCCCCCCTCCGGGACGGCTTCCTGCTCCTCTGCCCAGGGCGCCCGGGGCGGGAGCCTTGTCCCGGGGCTGCCCGAGCCGCCCAGGAGCAGCAGCAGCACCAGGACGCAGCAGCCGAGCCCGCGGCGGGCCGGGAGCCGGCCCTGGCCCATGGCAGCGGTACCGGCAGCGGAGCGGCCCCGCCCGGCTGCGCTGGCCCCGCTGATCTCACTTCCTGGGCCGGTGCTGGGGAACAACTGCGGGCCCGGCCGGCCCGGCCAGGCAGAACCGAAGCCGTGTCCGAGCAGAGGCTCCGGCCCCGCCCCGGGCCCGGCCAGCCCTGGCTGGGAGGGGAGCGCAGGCTCCCGGACACCGCCTCCCGAGAGCGCCTGCGGAGGGCTAATAATGCGTTTGTTAAGTAGCCCAGCGGCTCGGCTGAGGTTTTTGCGGCCTCAGACGAGAGAGCAAATGGCAGCTGTTCCTCAGTGTCCTTTCGAAGGGGACACAAAAATAAGAGGCAGAAACAAGGGAGCAGCGTGTGAGTCGGCACGGCTGTCCAGGCCATTGCTGCCTGCTATCTTGGTATCCTAACTGAGACCAAGGCCAAAGGGTTAGAAATGGAAAGGATTTCAAGGCTATCCCACATGCTCAGAAAAATAAAAGTAAGAAGGATAGAATAAACAGAATGAATCCAGCCTGATCCAGGCGGATGGGAGCGGGGAATGCAGCCCAGGCACTGAGCAGGGTGCATCACCATCTACAGGTGCCTGCAGATACTACACAGCAGCATTTACCATACTGGGACTAATAAAACGGCCCCTTCCAGCTACAAAAACAGTGAGGCCTTAGCCTGAACACCACTTGCAACAACTTAAACAGAGCTAAAAATACTGCATTAAAGAAATAAATTAAAAATCAAACTCGCTGTAGCCATAGCAAAATAAACTGCCGTCAGCCTTTCTGAAAACTAGTTGGGGCAGCTCAAGCATTTATACACATTCATTAAAAAGTTCATAGCTGGAACATTCAAACTTTTCCCACGCAAGACAACTGCTCTAGCTGAAAAGGGCTTATTAAAAGGGGCAGATGTCATAAAAAATAGATGCTTACGTCTTCCAAAGGAAAAAGAAAATTCTGAACGATAAACTGACTAACACTGCACCAGCTCATGGCATAATTCCTGGGATGTCAGCCCTGCCCAAGTGCAGCACACAATAAGTACCAGAAGGAAAAACAAGTTTTTTAGGAGGTCCTGGCACAGGCTGCCCAGAGCTGTGGCTGCCCCATCTCTGGAAGTGTCCAAGGCCAGGCTGGATGGGGTATGGGGCAATGTGGTCTGGTGGAAGACGTCCTTGCCCATGGCAGAGGTTTGGAACAAGATGATCTTTAAGGATCCTTCCAACCCCAGTCATTCTGGGATTCTGTGAAGGGGGTTTAGGAAGCACATGGGGTTTTTCCTTCCTCTGCTGAAACCCAAACTGCAGTTTGCCAATCTTGAGGTGAGTCTGGCTGCAGAGGCAGCTGCAGGGATCTGCACAGCCCTCGAGTTGATGGGAGGATGCTCAGCTTGTCACTCACAGCTGGTTGTTCCAAGCAGTCAGTCCTAGTGAGCAGCAACCACCTGATTAAAACTCCACTCGGCTCAGCTCAGCTGCCGTCTGAAAACAGCACCACAAGAAGTGGTTATACCTGGCTTATTTCACACCCCACTGCAGCTTGGGACAAGCAAACACTCAGAGGGAACCTCACAACCCAGAATTTCATTTACAGGCTGTCCAGTAAAATGCCATGCACCCATCTTTTAGGTTTTTCCCCCCCCATTTCTATACAGCAATTTCTTCTGCACCTCCAGCTCTGCACTCTGACAGAAGGCAGGGGGAGAAGAGCCTCTATCTAGAGCTCAGTATAACACAGCTCTGGATTAGATCACTAAATAAAAGAAAGATCTAGAATAAGGGTATGAGAGGAATCCTTTCCCCCCTTCCTTTTTTGCCCACAAAGTTCTGTCTATTCCCAGTCTCTTAAACATATTGAGATTCTACAAAGAACAAATCACCGGTCCCAAGTGAACCAAAGACTTCTTTTCCTAATTTTTCGATTCAATAAAAAAATTGTAGGGAAAGGATTTGAGGACTTCAGGGAAAGTGCTTATTTTCAACTCCCAGTGGTTCTCCATTGGCTCAAAGTTGTTTGTATTAATTCTTTTGTAAAAGTACATTCGTTACATAATCAGAAATACTAAAATCTCCCAGTTATACAAATTCTCACTCCAAAAATACAGAGCAGCAGCACAACACAACAGCTCTCTAAACTGCCAGTTTCTGCCTGTCAGAATTTAAAAGCATCTGTAGCTGTTGAACTGCTCATACACAAGCGAGAATCCTGTCCCACTCCCTGAGCAAATTGGTACCTCAAAAATAGAGATGGAGGAAAGGAACAGTTACTGTCAGCACACAATGCTAGGAAACAAAAAACCCCAGAACATCCTCCCCCACAAAACCCTCAAAATAAACCCCGGAAAGCAGTTCATACAGAATTCAACAATGCTGAAATCTGAGGCTTCAAGTGAGAAACTCTAGTTTAAAGAAAAGCAGGTTTCACACCACCAGTTGATGCTACAGAGCAAGTCAAAGATCCCTGAATTCAGAAGTGCTTCACTTTCTGCCTCTGAAACACTCACTGTTGGGGCAATAAGAAAAACTCTGCTGCAGACTGAGTAAAGCTCTGCTCTCAGGGGGAAGCAGTGACCTGCCCCACCCTAATAAAAGCTTAGCAAAGGCCCACGAACACGTGCGAGCTCTACAGACACCTCTCACAATGTGCTATCCATCCCTGGCTCCATGGAACCAGCTCCTGGGACACTGCCAAGGGCTCAGCCCATGTGCTCAGCAGATAGATGCAGGACCAGGGGCTGCATGGGCAGAAGACCACCTCAATCTAGGTGTATTTTATTTCTGTATCCCTTTGGGACACTCTCCTTACCAACAGGCTCTGGCAAACAAGCTGCATTTTCTGGATATACATGACTGGAGTGAATGCCATTGACAAGCAGAGAAGTAACTGTGAGACAGCAGCAGCAAAACACACATTCAGCACAGCACAGGCTGGAACTCAAGAGAGGGGAGAGAGAGAGAGACTTAGGCGATCCATCAATGTTGCTTTATTAAAATCTTTATTCACACAATGTTACTTTATATGGGATCTGACCCTGGGGCATAGGAGTAGCAAGTCATGATTGCATTCTGTTTGCTTATTAGCAACTCCATTTGTGCAGCAGCTCCCAGGGGCCTCCTCTGGCACATCCAAGAGGGGGTCTGTTTCCAGCATCTTGCTCCAGCTGCTGTGGTAAATAAATTACCTTCTTAATAAATTAGTACTTTTGAGTCGAAGTTTGTTTGGCAAGACACACTCCAGTTCATCAGCTGCTGGAAGAGGAACTGACTGGAGTGTAGTGTCTCCTCCCCCTGACAGCTGACTTGGGAAGGAGGAGGTAATTAGCAGATGGCTGATGAGGCTCTTTAATTAGTTCTTGATTTCTGTGCTTCCAGTGCTCTGATATCATTGATAACCATGACACAACCAGTGTGTGACATCTGGGCCAGCGGGTGACACGTGCACAGTGAACAAGAATCAGAAGGTGTCTCAGAAACCTCCTGGACAGAGCACCTGCCTTGCAAACAATGTTATTTTTCAGAGTTTCAAGCAGACCCTGTTGGCACGTGGATGCTGTTCCTCATTTCCTTTGCAATGGTTACTATTTAAAACCTCTCGGGGTTCTGTGTTCAAGCAAAAACGATCATCACTGCCAAAAGGGCAGAAACTGTCACAAGGCCAAAACCAGATCTTCCTGATTTTGGTTTAAGAGAGGAATTTATTTTTCTTTCCTGCTGCAGAACACCAAAAACCAGTAGTGTTTACAGCAATCAGAACCAACAAATAAAGAACCAACCCCAAAAAAACAACCATTTCTTGCCTCCTTCTACTGATAATGCTGGACTTCATGCCCTTTGTCCACAGTAAACCAAAGTAAACCAATACCCTGCTTTAAATCTTTGACATTTATACTGGGGAAAACTTATCCCCAGGTTCCATTTGACAGCAAAAGCTTTAGCTTAGAGCAATATGTTAAGTCCTCAACACTAATTTAATTTCAAAGACTGAAAGACCTTTTTTGAACCCATTATTAAATCAAATGTAAATATCAAGAATGATCATATAGAAATCAAAAATTAAATTTTGGTAGATCCCTCCCAAAATATTAAGAGCTCATGATTAAGCTCAAAGAGAAGAATATGCTTTTAGAAATGCTACAAGCCACCAACCATGTGCTTTGCCATTTTCCCTTTGGGTAAATAATCTGAAATTTCCTTAAATCAGCACTTGCTCCTGCCCCACAGACACCACCCACAGCTTCTAAAGTGTGTTCTGTTATCAGGTGATAGAGGCACAAGCTCCACAGTATTCCCAAAGCTGGTTGTGTGTCACCATACTGACTAAGAACTCCAGATCCCATCCCAGCATCTCATTGCTCTGGGGCACACCTGTGATTGTGGCCAAGTCCAGAAGAGAGCAAGAATACCATAAATTCAATCTCAGGTAAATAGTCACATTCTACTTTCAAGATACTCTGCTCATGTGATGAGAAAAACACTTCAACAAAGCAAACTGAGAGCTGCATTTTTCAGAAAAACTCTCTCCCTGACACCTCCTGGATCAGGTGTGGCCAAGGTGCAGGAACTGGAAACAGCTCTTTACTTGCCTGCAGTTACAGAAATCCTGACAGGAAAATCAAGGAAAAGGGCTCAAGCTGACATTTTGGTGCTCTTGCTCTCAAGTCCAGTAATCTGTAATCACCTGGGGAAGGGAGCTCTTTCCTTACAAGAAGGACCATACTGGCTGAACACTGATGCAAAGCTGTTCAATTTGGGAATAGTGATGAAGCTGCTTCTCTTCTCGAGACACAAACTGAGACCAAGGTGATCAGTTTTATGGCACAAACTCATTGGCAGCACAGGCTGCAGTGCTGAAGGACAGCAGGACTAGCACAAGGTGAATGCTGCAAGCCTGCCCTGAAAAGACAACTTTTCTGGTCACCAGGATGACCATCCCGGGCAGAACATCACAGTGAGGTTGCAGGAAGCAGCTGGGGAAGGCAGAAAATGAAAACCTCCTG